ATATATATATATATATATATATATAGTTTCGAAGGAGTGCTCGAATCGTGCAGGATGCGAGCAGACTCTGTAAAGGACGTGCCATTTTCTGTCATCCAAGACAGCTGCCCACAATCTGACCGTTCCCATTCGGATTTCCGGTAAGCCAAGTGCGTTGCTAAACCCGCAATATGCCATCTCAAAGGTACTGCGGTTTAAGCGGACTCTAAAACTTCTCAATTTGCGGCTTGAGCCCGCAGTGTGACTAACGCTGTTGAGAAAGCATTGGAGTACGTTGAAAAACGATACTTCAAGGAATACCCATGTCTCACTCAAAGCCCAGACGTACAGGTGAGCGTTCAGAAAAATGATGGCATCTTCAATTCAGAGATCATTAGTTAATATTACAGTTTGTGCATTTTTGGATTTATAATTCTTACATCACTAGGAGCATGCGACCACCAGTCTCCTACAATGATTTTTATATGATGAAACCACCTGTTTCCACGGCTTCACACGTACGTCTATACGTCCTGCAGGTGGTAGGACAGCACGCAGGAACTTCCTTTAGCTCCCGAATACGTCCTTCGACTCGCCACACCAGCGCTGTTGGCTCGCGGCCTGTGTTGGCGGGTCCAACAGGTAAGTTCTCCAGTAGAACGGCTCCAGAAACGGTTGTAGTTTTACAGCGATGTAGAGGATTGATATTGTCTAGTGGAGCCCCCCCAGAAACGGTTGTAGTTTTACAGCTATGTAGGGGATTGATATTGTTTACTGATTAGTGGGGCAGAATTGTACATGTCCTGCGCTGTGCAACGACCATGCGATACGGGATGCATTTCCGCTACTTGATTGCTGCGCAGATGATTCTGCTCCACCTGTCCAGTTCCCCAAAGTCCGAGGCTTGGTTATGCGATGACTCGTGCCTGTCTATTCAGGCAGGTACATTTGCAGTAAGACTAGTCAATTAGGTTCAAAGAAAGGCACTTTGCTTTGTAATTCCTGAGTAATTCAAATAAAGGCTGGCGATGTTTCACTTTATTTACACGAATTGTATCGGGCTGACGATGTCAGAACAATGATCGGCTGTTCCACAAATACAGGTGTTGCATCACATGGGTGCGCAAGACTGAGAGACATCCATTTCATCCAGAAAACTATCGACTCTCTCGTACTTCCCCCGATAGCTGCACAACAATATTCGAAAGCTTTATGACATGGACAGCACGGAGTACGAGCTCCTGGGGTTGCACCAAACAGGGATGCTACCTCCTGCCCTTTGGGCCACGTTCATTTTCCTGCAAAAATGCCCTTTGCAACGCCTGTACTGAACACTGCGGGGAACCAAATTTCTCGGCTGGAGAGGTGGAACGTGTACGTCAGCGGTCTGCTTCGTCACAATTCCTGTATACCAAACTTGGGCGAGCCACCAACAGTGGTACCCACCAAAAGAAACAATCAGGTGGCTGAGATACAGGGCGCCCGGCAGTGCTGAGCCTCTATTCGAGCCGACTGCGAGAGCTGATGCCATGAAGACGAGAAACTACTGGGTCAAAACTCTGCAGAAGCGTTTTGCTAGTGCTTTGTGTCAAGCCATCTGCGTTGCTGGTCAGCATGAGCAAACGCAGTGTGGAACAAAAAAAAAAGATGTAAACATCCGTTTGGCACAATATACAAGTTCCGCCCAAGCGAAACTGTAGATGAGGAGGCTTATACGAAATTGAGCTCCCTAGCTCAGCTCCTTCTAGCTCACACTGGAACGACTGGAAGGAGGCGATGCTTCACCAGCTTCTTTGGAGCTACCCGTTAGTAGGGACTCATAAGATGCGGTCCGTGGCACAGCAGATGTGTCAGCACTGCGACTCCCCGTATGCTGACAATCTCCAGCGGTCCCATCCCCTTTCTTCTGCTGCATTTGCTGCAGCCCTGCTACGTGTGCTTCGTCGTCATTCCGGGTGCGACTGGCTGCAGAGGCGAACGAATCGCAACGGCTGGTTAGGGGATCTGTTGATTCGAATGAAGAATACGATCCAAGACCGTCGGCGGTTCCCGCCGTAGATGCACGAATCGCTGCAGCCTCTCTTGCTGCAGCCTCCCCAGCCTTCGTTGCTGCGCCTGCTGCAGCAAATGCTGCACTGAATGAGTTCCTCGGCATGCCCACTTTGGAGCCCTCAGGAGACCGGGTACGCTCAGGTGTTTCCTGAGCTAGCGCCATGAACATCGCACTCGTGCTGCTGCATGCATGCATTTCACGGGTGCTCCGCGGCAGCCAAAGGCGTGTTGCAGAGCTCGTTGGAGCAGCAGCACTAACAGGTGGAGGTTCAAACCTGGCACTAGTGAAATGCGCTGGTGCCACGCTCCGGCGAGAAGACGAGTCGGCATGACTCACAGCACCTGTCTGTGCAGATGCGCGACATCCTTTGGGTTGTACTCCTTCGAGAACAACAGATGCATCTGCCCCAATCCTGAGAGACGAGTAAGCTGGAGCAGCATCTTCACTTTTACTTCGGCGGTTCTCCGATGGAGCAATGCTTACTCCCAAATTTGAGGAAGCTGACGCCACGGCCGTGCAGGAGCCTCCGCAGCTGTCTCCAGCAGCAGCGTTCGTGTCGCCCATGCTTAAGTGTTGCTCCACACGCCCTGCAGCAGTGAACTCTCCAGTAGAGGCTCCTGGGGCCTCACTTGTTCGTGTAGCTGTTTGCGTGGCTGCGCCAGCCTCCGCCTCTTTCACCTGAAGCCCCAACAATGCGGCTGCACGGAAACCGGGACCAAGCGGTTGCAGCACATGGCCAGACTCCGCTGCTACTGCAACTGAACTGCCCCTAGTTGCGGGGGGAGACAACGAAAACCCATCCAAGGGAAGCTGCATTTTCGGGCGCATGGCGGTTTGTAGGTGGCCTTCAACAACAGCAGAACCATCCAAGCCGACGGCATCCACAACAGCACCAGGAGCTTCAGTGCTGCCTTCAGAAGCGGAAGCACAAGCAGCAGCTGGTGCAGTAGGTTGCTGCATTCCAGGTGCAGCATCTGCTGCACTCGTGACCCGTCGGAAGCCGATTGGGCCCAGTCTAAACGCCGAAATGGAAACAACGGATGGCAGCAACAGCCTACCAGGTGCATTTGCTGTCGATGGCCGTTCCTGTTGTTTCTGGGTACTGCTGCTGGCACCCTCTGATCTGTCTAATGATGCAAGTTCAGCCCCCTCTGATGCCGAGCGGCGAATGCATTCCGTTGGCTCCTCCAGATGCTGCTGCGCTGCGGCAATGCCAACTGAGGTGCTAATTTCCAGCTGCGGATCCCTTAAGTAGCTGGAAGTGCTACTGCTGCTACTGCTACTGCTGGTGTTGCTACTGTTGCTGCTGCTGCGGCTGAGCCCGTCGAACAGGCTTTCGCTAGAGTCTGACGAGCTGCTGCTATCTTCTGGTACCCCGGACGCTCCAATGCTAGCCACTGCGGTGGCCGCGTCAGTTTGGGGATGAGAAGAACGGCCATCTTCCGCCTGGTCGAGTCCAAAGTAATAGTTCAGGGCAAGGGTTCGCTTCGCTGGCATCGGCGACGGTGTTGGGAGCACAGCCGTCGGAGTTTGGGGGTTGTGGCTCTCTGGCAACACTGCAGTGCCCGTCACTGACGAAGTAATTGGGACCGAGGAGTCCTCTTCCTCGTCTGAGATGCCGCCTTCGCTCTCTCCGTATTCCATATGCGGCTCGAAAGCAACTGACCAGTAATTAAATGCATTGAACTGTAAACACGTGCCACACAACTTGGGTCACACGGTGCATCGTCCCCTACAGTGCATATAGGCACGTCTGACTGCGGTAACTACAGTGTGAACTACAAAACAGTAAGCAAATGCTCCTCTCAAGAAACTGGAACTCGGCAACCCTTCAGAGCACGCCATGGAATGCCATGCATCTAAAGAAGGCACTATTCCCCTAACCGGTACCAGCTGGAAGATACCATGGCAACACCAACGTATTCATCACCCACGTGAGAGGGATCAGTTCGACGCATGTACGGGCATCGACACGTATGTTCTTGTCGCTCATTCCCACCGCTCTGCTTGCTGCCCTGCGTTGCCGCAAAACCTCGCGGACGCGGCTGCTCATTTTGCGGCTGTACGAGGGAGGATGCAAGAAACATAGGTACGGGTACGGAGCCATTCGTTGCAGAAGCTACGGCTGTATCCCTGGACGGCACACGCCGCTATTCGAGATCATACACAGGGGTTATCAAAAAAACACCCCTAGTCCCGAATGGGCCTACAGCCAGTTAGCCTTCACTATCAAAACCGTACGATGGCTGCTGCTGCAGCTACTAAGAATTTTACAATTGTGCTTAGCTGCTGATGTCCCCGCCGGTAATAGTTTCTCCGGAGGGTGGTGACAGGGTCTAACGCGTCATTCTCAGGTAAGCCGGATAGTGCGCGAGGGTTCATGCGCCCCTGCGCTTCAGCCCCTCTTCATGCTGACTCGCTAGAAACCCTAGCCACCAAGCCAGCTAAGAAACAAACGAAAGAAACGAAACCCATGAATTCCAGAGGAATATCCATACTAGCACATGCACTCGTGGTAAACGCTATCAGTTCAAGAGCGCCAAAGTGGCCACTCCTCCCACAAGAGCGGAACGCCCTCCGCAACAAAAATTCACCAGGGAGAACCCTTTACGGTCTCTGGAGCAACGAAGGGCATTTACTGGTAATGCGACACGAACACAACAAACTCCACCCAGGTTCCCACAATAAGAGAAAAACGTAACGAATGGGTGGGTGTTTGAGGAAAGGGTTTATGAGATTCCACAGAGGAGCTTGAAACAACGAACGAATTCACAGCGATGCATAGGAGGTGGTGGCCTCAATCATCTTCCCTGAACAATTGGTGCAGGGGATGGGGGGAATCCACCATTCCTTAAGTCAAAAGATAGCTATTCGAGAACGAATGTGCACACTCTGTTTTTGCCTCGAGGGCGAGGGCAACGAGATGAGTTCCAACGCTCAAGAGCCCCCTTGGCATGTTGAGCCAACCCACGGCAAAATTCTGCAAGCAACCACTTTAAAAGTCTAGTGCACCTTTTTTTCGCGACAAGAACATCTCCACTCTTCAGGAGACCAGGAAGGTGCCTCGTCTGGCTTCTACTGCGATGTTACTACAACTGTACTTTTATTTAAAGAGTAATTTGGTGGGGCTCGTCATTACAGCCGCTACAGCAGACGGCAGTAGGGGAGGCCCAGTTGTCATCCTGCTTGTCTACGTGTAGTATGTACTGCAGCCTTTTGCGCTGCCTAACCTCTTCTTCTTCTCTTTCCTCAAGCTCCTGTCCTGGCTGTCCTCGGGACACTGGCGAATTTTTTAAAGGCGGGAACATATGGTCAGCAATCTCGCTCATCGTCTCGTACCTACAAGTCCAATTGACATAACAGGAAACATACAAGCTGTGCGTAAACGTCCAGTGCCACTGCTTCAAGGAGAACAGCGGACACAACACCACTACCGCGGAAGGATCATCACCATCATCCATTAAGCCAGCACATACACCCAGTACCATAGCGCTGGATGTAGAAGCTCCCTTGCACGACGAAGGCTTGTTGCACTGTTGGCTCACGTTCGCGCGTAAGTAGAGTTGCTGATGTGGTGAATAACACCAGCTGTGTCGATGATGAAGATTTTCGCCTCCGGAATGCCAACATGGATGTACGCCCGGTGATCCTGAGACAAACATACGCCTGGTGCATCTACTACAACAGAGCCAAATGATCTGCTGTGCCCCCTAATCATCTATCATTACTGCCCACAGTGATAGCACTTTCAAATGTTTGGTGACTAAGTATAGTGTCACTTTTGCACGGAGACAAGGCATACCGATTCTCTGTTACCAAACCCAGCGTAGAAGGGGTTTCTGTTCGCTGGGAAGAGGCTACGAATGTCCCTTAGAGCCGCAATTTTAAAAATGTACGGTTTCCTGTCTATCACTTCACGGCGGAAAGAGGGAAAGAGCCTGTCAGGACTGAGTATCAGAGGTCCATCTGTCAACCGCATACAATGGATGGCAAACATACACCTGCCCTAAGTTGAACCCCTAAGGAGAAAAGAATATTCATAGTTTCAAGAAGACAAATACATCCGTAGTCGAATACTAAGCGTCACTGGACTAAAACTCGGCGCGGCAAGCCTGCAAGCACCTGTACACAGCTGCAGATGCATGCAATTCTACACATTCATGGATGAAGGGATCCTAGCATCCCCAAGCACAGTACCGGGGACCAACGAAATGCTAAATTCGCCAAAATCAGTAAGAAGCACCGGCAAAGCATTGACAAGCACTCACCTGGGAGTTTGTCTCTTTCCTTCTGTGTCAGCCCGAAAAGGTAGTCACGAGTGGCGTCGGCCTGACCGATAGCCCGAGCCGTGAGATAAAGGATAAGATATCCGCTTCTTTTGATCTTTGTAAAAAGTTCTGCTACGCCTGTGTGAGACCAGTCTCTCCCCACGATAGGCATCAGCTGTCCAAGAACATCCGATCTGCAGGTGGCAATTCGTCACAACTGTTCGTGGCAAGAATAACAATAAAGTGGGAAAAGGGAGGAAAGTGCAGGGGCAGCGGGCAATATGCCAGCAAACGCTTCCCTGCTCACTTGCGAACTGCAGTAACACGTACCTTGTGATAGTGCCATCTACATCCGATACTACGATTTTGATGTCTGTAGGCCAAAGATAGATTGTTCCGCAGACGCTCTTTTCCCCCTGGAGAGAAGAGCTGACAGTGAAGCACACGCTGTTGGCCCCAGGCTTAAGATCGAGAGATTCCTGTTCACATACAGTAGACCGAGGCTAGTACAAGCGCTCAGAGGCTTTGCCTGCTTGTGGTTCCCCTCCCTCGACATAAAAGGGTTTACCATTCATCGCCTCCAACTCATACGCTTGCACTAATGAAGAGGAATAGCAGAGGGCCTCACCAACTGTTGTGGAGTTGGCCTTAGAGACCTCCTAAGCCTCTTTCCTGTAGAGGGCTCCATGCTTGGAGCAAACGCAGGGGATTCGCTGTCACTGTTGACTCCGCTGCTGAACGATGCACCTTCAAAACCAAGACACAGGCATTCGGACAATCAGCAGCTCTAAAGGGATCCATTTACCTCGTGGGAACTGCAACGTCAATGTCTAAGAATCGGTGACGAGCAGCATAATTGCAGGGAAACCCACTCCACAATGGCGAGCTAATGATCACTATGTGCAATGGACATTTCTAGAAGCCACACCGAAGTCTGCTAAGCTTTTATCTCACCATGGAGCTGATCTCTTTTGGGACTACCTTGGGAGAATTCAGCGGAGCTTAGCGGTTCAGGTCTGGGCCTCAACACTCCTGAGCTGCTGCCTACACCGTCTGTTTGCCACGGAGCCCAGCTAGCCCCCTCTCTATCTGTGTAGGTGATATCTGCTGTCATGAGCCTTTTGACGCTGTCTAGCGATAGCGGGCGATTGAACAACAACCAGCTAGCCAGAAGCGGCAGCGCCACCTTTGCCGGGTAGTATGGAGGCGTTCTTTCGAAACACGCCACCAGGGAGGGGTGGTACCACAGAGACGGGTTCTCATCAAGGGCTTCCCAGGTAACAAGGTTTGCTTCAAACACATCGGCGTCGTGTTGGGCTTCGTCTGCCGTGCCGAACAAGACATGGCCGCAAAGAGAGAACTGAACAGCAGCACGACCTTCCTCTGCCTGTCGTCCCAAAGTCCGTTCAGCTTCTGGCAACGAGCCGGATGGGCTCCCTTCCATCAAACCGGCGTTGCTCTCATATCTGGCTGCAGTTCCCCATGCAGACCTCCACGTGGAAGAGGCGTCTTGAGTTGTTACAGAGGCTGAAGGGGCACCCTTTGGAAGGCTGCCATCAGTACCCAACGAAGGAGACAACCCACTAGTGCCTCGTGTCAAGTCTGACCCTGTTTGGGGGTCCACCGGCCTGCGGGTATCTTGCAAGACTGCAGAAGCCGCCGTCGAGAGCGTTACCCCCTGAACTGGGTGGGAAGGCGGCAGCACGTTCGAGTCCTGTGGTGCTGGAGGCATAGACGCATCTGTTGAGAGGCCGCATTCACGCCGAGGGGAATGCACAGGAGAGGAAAGCGGGCTGGCAAGGTCTTCTTCGGCAACTCCAATGCTGTCCTCGACTTCTTGCATGAAATATGCTTCCCCCGCAGCTCCTAGTTTCATAACAAGGGCGGTCGGCTTGTTGTTAACGGTCACGGAAACGATTTTTTCCCTCGAACGCAGCAGCTTGGCTTTCCCAAACCGCACATGGAACGGGGTTGAGTGGAGCTCTCCGGTGTGCGGATTGCGTACGCATATGATGTCAATGCAACCGCTAAGCGTCGCCTGATTAAAGTCAAGCGCATTGCTGACGCTGCTGACGATTCTGCCCCACATGTTTACGAGAGAAAAAGCAGCGCCTAGGTACCCGTGTGTCCCCCTTGCATGCCGACGAGGACGATGTCTTACATGGGTTGCCCAGCAGGCAGCAAGCCGAGTCTGCTACTGCAGTAACTCGCAAAAAGAAGAATATTCCGATCCTGGCATATATACGCGAAGTGTGTGCGCTGGGAAAGCAGAAGCGCCTCCTGCACGCAGAGGCAGTCGGCCAACGGAGGAGTGCCCGCGACAACCGCTCCACAGCCCCCCCTTCAGCTCCTGTTTCAGCAATCTGGGAAAAAGCCAGGTGTCGGAAAATTGCTAACAACGGGAGTCCGACGTCACAGAAAATGATGTGTCGTTTTCAGCATCGCGGTATGCCCCGTCGTTCCTGCTACCTCAGGCGCCGGGTCAGCTACATCAACGAGGGAGTCCGGTGAGCATCAGTGCTGTTTTGGCGGCTAGTTATTGCTAATCCTGTGCCATACACCCGAAACAACAGACCCACGACAAAAACGAAGCAAGAGCCAACGTCGTAGTAACGGAAGCCGCCGCCTTGGGCAGGCCCACCAGCCCAGCCAACGCTTTCTTTGGGGCTCACCTGTAATTCCAAGTTGAAATTCAACCATAGAGCATATGGTCTGTAGAAGACCGAAATATGGTGTATATATGTACTTCGGCTCACAAGTTAGCGTGCTGTGCGCGTTTGCTTCTGTGGCCATCCACCGCCGCACCGGTCCGATGCATTAACTGTAACGAATCAGAAGGCACGCACAGTGAAATTAGTATTGACTTTGGCTTTACTTTGTTCCCCTGATTCCACTGCACATCTGTGTGTGAGGAGAAATAGGCCTTTTCTTCCAGAGCGCGTGGCAATATTCTCCCGTCGGACTTACCAGTTGCTTACCAGCGAACAGGCGTACACCTAAACAATAGTAGAAGCGCCACTCTTTTCCTCTGTGAAGAACAACTGGAGGTTGTCCCTCTGCAGGCCTATAGTTCCTTCTACTTAGACGCCACGGTAGTTGGAGTACACTTGTGAGCAGCGGATACCTTTTGGTTTGCCTCATGATTTTCGGCGTAAACAATGGCGAAAGTAGATGGAGTTGTGTACAAGATAACGGAGGCGCAGGCGAACTGCTTTAAGACTGCATTTGGCATTTTCGATTCAGATGGAGACGGCTTCGTCACTCGCGAGTGTGCCACACAGTCTGCTTCTCACTGATCATGCCGGTTTTCTAGCCATCTAAGCATCCTTGTCAATCACGTACCACAGTGTGCCTCCTAGGTAATTGTGTCTTGTAAGGCCATTCCTTCAGTCTTCTTAGCTGGGCTGCTATGCTCTCCGAAGGGAATTTGTTAAACTTTACCGCTCCGTGGGGCAGTCACCCTCTGAGGCAACTTTGAAGGAGCTAGTCGAAAAGTTTGACCCGGAGAATACAGGGAAATTCGACATTCATACATTCTTGCACATCTGCGAGTCCCCATACTTCGCTGACCCAATGAAGGAAGAAAGGCTGGTTGAATGCTTTCGCATGTTTGATGACGATGCCATCGGGAAGATAAGTATTCCGGAGCTGAGATACGTACTCCAACAAATCGGGGAACCGTTGACAGACGACGAAGCTGACAAGTTTATTGAATGGGCGATGAAGGTAATCTGGAAACTTTCTTCCTCTCAGCTCCGGCGGTATCCTCAGGCACCTGCTGATGAGAGACGCCGGCAACAAAACAAAACGCCGCGAGAAAAGTACCATCTGGTTGCGGCAAATCCTACTCCCCACGTGATTCATGTAGGTTAACGTTCTTTTTGGAGTTCTTTGACACCCCATGGGTGTTTCCTGTTATGAGTCTTGCTGTATGTTTAGGTGCCTGATGCGATTTCGGATGGAGGAATGCTTAACTACGATATTCTCGCACGGGAGCTTATGAACAGGGACCCCGATGTCTTATAAAACAAACGCTTCGAGACACATACTTCGTTGGGGGAAGCTGTTTATCCCTAGATCGCGACACCCGTGGTAGCCGTACGCACAGTTGTACCGAATCCACGCAAAATGCCTGAGAAGGCTGCAGGAAGCACTTATCATCTCGCCTTTTTTGGTTCCTATCCCCATGATATTCGAGGGGTTTTCTTCTGAGGTACAAATGGGGTTTATGTGCTGCCTAGAGAGCCTTTTATGCATGCGTTGGGACAAGAAGCCCACCCCAGCATAGTTAGCATTAGTGTTGGGCATTGAGCTATACTAAACTGCTCGTGCGAACTAACAGGTGAACTGGCTGTCCATTTTACCGCCCGACGCACAGCACTGAAGCCATATGGCCATAACATAGCTTCTTGTACTGTTGTAATGAGCAATCTGCTATATTTGAGCTCCTTCAGAGGTTACCACCCACTATGTGAAACTATGGCAGAGCTAACAGCTGAAAACTAACTGGCGTTGAAAGGATAGCTGGAAAATAACAGCAACGCAAGATCGGGCAGAATATGCCAGGGCAGCCAATCAAAAAACCAAGGTGCAGCGGTGAGCTCCTGGCGGCAAAAGATGGGAAGTTTAGGCTTCAGTATTAGGCAAATCGAGGCTGTTAAGACGCAGGCTGAGGACCACCACAATGCCGACGGCTGGCACAGCATGGGCATGCCTCCCGAAAAGGTTAGCGCCTTCTTCATCGAACAACTTTCAAATGGTGTTGGGAACAAAGGAAAATGCATCTAGCGATGTTGCGTTTTCTGCTTGCCTAATATTCCAGAGAATGGGCAAACTTCAAAAAGGTGGTAAATTGGGAGCTCGTTCACTCGCCTCCATTTAATGCATGGGGCAGATGTCCTTGCCGACTAAGAGTACGCATTGCACTTTTCAAACGAATTTTACGCCGTGTACCACTGAATCCAGGTCCAACTTTCATTTTCACCTTGTTGTGAAACAAGTATATGGGGTACGTGGGAGTGTTTCAGGACCTGCTTGGTCTTACAAAAAGGGACCCCAAAAGAAACGGTCTTGCGCCTTAAACCTTAATAAACACTGCCTTTGTTGCCACGGTGTGCATATAATTTGTCGAGAATCTACACATAATCAAGCGACATATCAAAGTAGCGCCAATGAAGATGGCAGAGCAATCGCCCTTGATGGGATTTGCACGCCTAGGGGGGCCTCCGAACGAAGCAAAGCCCGAGTAAAAGCCGCGACACCAGTTCATGCATGCTTCATATCAGCATGCTACGTTGATATGAAACATGCATGAATTGGTGTCGCTGCTTGAAGAGCTGAACGAGCCGGGTCGGCACTGAAATACCGAAAACAATGAATACATGTTTTTGCACCGGTCTCACTGCACCATGCAAAGACCTAACAACCTCAAGGCTATTTGCTTACTTGTGCAGCTCAATACGTGCGGGCAACGAATAGAGAAGCGTGCCTTCACCACCTGTCCTCTGGAGCCACTCAAGTCACTTGCGTACAAAGTAAAGGCTTTGATTCTTGCGAGCTATGAAGACATATCTGACTCGGCATCATCATCAAGAAGTGATTCTGGTAGAAGTGTCTTGTCAAGGCCATTCAGGAGCTCATTTACTTTTTGTCTTAGTGTTGCATTTGCTGCAACAGCCTTCGCCAGCTGTTGCTGAAGGCGCTGTTTCTGCTCCTCCGATTCCTTTCTCATCCGTTCTTGCCGTTGTTGCTCCTCCAGTAGCCTCTGTGCTGCAGCCGTCTGCCGCCTGTCAGAAGCTTCCTGTATTCGTGCCGCCTTTGCTTCTGCCAAAGCAGTCAGACTCTCAAACCGCCTCTTGGCGTCTGCCGTCTCCCTCTCAGCCCTGCGCTTTGCCGCATCCCTCTCTGCCTCTGTTGTTGCTAACCTCGTCGCCGCATCAGCTAACTGCTGCTGTTGGGTACTGCAGGTCTGCTGAAGCTGATCACACTTTTGCTGCAACAGGGCATGTTCCTGTTGTAATGCGATACGGCTGGTCTCTGCCGCTGCAAGGCTGTCCTCCAGCTGCCTTTTGGAAGCCGTTAGCGCAGCTGCCTTTGATGCAGCGTCCTTGTTCTGTGCGTTTAACGATTCCTTCAAGCGTGCTACTTCCGCTTCAGCTGCAGCTTGCGCCTGTTGCTGGTGCTGCTGCACAGTCCGGTGGTGTTTCGCCGACGTAGCAAGCTCATTTCTTGCCTGTTCAGCATCTGCGCTTGCTGCAGCTGCTCTCCTTTCTGCCGTCTCCAGCTTCACCACGGCCTCTCCGTGTGCTCGTTGCAGCGCCTCCAGTTGCAGTCTCAACTTCTCGGCTAGTTCCTCGGCTTGCAGTGCTCTCTTCTCCAACGTGTCTCCCTGCGCAGTCCGCAGAATTTGCATCTCCGCCTCATGCTGCCCCCTTAGCTGATCGAGATGGCGTTGCAACAGCCCAGCGCTTGCAACTGCCCTCTCTTTCTCAACGATAGCAGCATGCAACTGTTGCCTGAAGCCCTCTGCCTGCTTCCGCGCTTCCTCCGTATCATGCGCTTGAACTGACAGTCTTTGCTCTAAATAGTCCGCGACTTCCTTTGCAGCTGCTGTCTCCCTCATTGCAGCTTCCGTCTGTTGCTTCAAAGCATCAAGCTCTTTCTGCAAAGAAGCAGCTGCCTCGGCTCCAGTGCGTTCTCTCTGCAGGTCCTTCTGCAGGGCTTCCTGCTGTCTCATCACGTCGGCCAGTGTGCCGGAAAGCCTTTCCGCCTCCTGTTCTGCTGAAGAAAGCTTCCTGGAGAGCTCGTTCTTCTGTTCAATAGCTTCCTGCAGCTGCAGAGCCTGCTTCGCAACTGTGTCCTCCTGCTTTGTTAGCGAATCTTCTTTTGCTGCAACTGCAGCAGCCCGTCTCTCCGTTTCCGCTATCACCAACCTCATCTCTTCCAACGCAGCTTCGCTCTGTTGTACATGGCATTTAAGTAGGTGGTTTTGGCTTAAGAGCACCTCGCTTTGTTCAGACGTTAGGGTGTAGAGCTCTTCCAGCTCATTCCTTTCCTGTAAGAGAGAGCTGTACGTTTTTCCTCCTCCATTGACGCCTGAAGAGCCCCCAGCCTCGGCCTCAAAGAGTTGGTGAAGGCGGGCTGTCTTACTGCGAAGCTCTTCGGCTAGCTGTTCGTTTTCTCTGGTTACCCCTGCCACTCTCGCACTGAATCCTTCAATTACCTTTTCCTTTTCCCTCGATTCCTCCTGAAGTTCCAATATCCTTTCGTCATAAGCAGCAAGCAGTGGACTGACCAGTTGCATGTTAAGACACCAAGGAGGCAATGGCAGCGTTTCTGCCTGTTGTTGAAGCTGTGTTGCCATTGCTGAGGCTGCGCTAGGAGCATTGCCACCTGCTGCGACGGCGGCAGCTGCCACTGCTTGGGAAAGACGAGCACTTCTAAGCTCCTTGGTTACCCTTTCTGCGTAGTCTCTGAGGCTTGCATTTTCCTGTTGAAGCCTCACTAGCTGCTGCATTAAAGCCAACTCATGAGGATGGCTCCTCGATGCGGTCGGCGCATTAGGTACAACGCGATGATTGGCTCCCAATTGCCAGCTTCCTCCTACGGCCTGCTGGCGTTGTTGAGACTGCATTGTGCTGGGGCCCTACAGAAGCAGGGGTCTCTTTGTGACAAAAACAAAGCGCACAGCCCGTTTCCGCTTCTTGCAGAGAGGGTCTCATGAAACGTAGAATTACTTACAATGTGCCAATTAGGATGAGTCAGTTGTTGGTGAATAGAAAACAGACTAGATCACCCATCTATGGAAACAAAAAGTCAATAGCCAGCTGTACAAGACTTCTGTGTGAAATTATACTTTATTCCGTCGTTATTCACCGGGGTAGAACTGTGTCCATCTGCTTATATCTAATAACCACTTAGTCCCTTTCCCAAAGTTTGCATATAAGACAAGCAGTAGCACACTGCATGATCTAAGACTGTGCGGCCCAGGGAGCATGGGCTACACCCCGACTGTGGTGTCGTCGGGTCCTGCTACCCTATCCAGTCCATGGGACCTTAAAAAAGACTAGCAGCTAAATGGAAACTAGAGCTCACATGACTAGGTTCTTGAGGGCTATGTTTGCATCTCCAGATTTAGCGTAAGTCTGAAGTGCGTGCATCTGGGTTGCAGTTGCCTGCTTGTTTCCTTGCATGCGTGTGCAGAGGCGCTGTAATTCACCTGGACAAAACTGGGTTTTTTCGATCTAAAGTTGGAATTGAAGCACTTCAAGAATTGGAGGGTACGTTTGAGAAGTTGGTAATAGTCATCTGGGCGCGTGACCAATGTGTAGGTAGGTCACCTGTTTCGTGCTCGTAATCCATCCTGGCCAAGCCAGTACTTCGTGAAGCACGCACACCTCATTTTCTGGTGAATAGCCTGCTATTAAAAATGTATGGCATATGAGGCGACTCATTTGCTGCAAGCAGCCGCGCCAGTAGTCCAGGGGTAGGATGCAACCCTCCCAAGGTTGCGACCCGGGTTCGAGTCACGGCTGGCGCACTGGGTTTTCGCCGTGTGCTGGTCCCATTACCGTTTTATTACATCTAACCATGTATCCGCGCTCCTAATAGATTCTATATGTAGGAATAACGCGAAAAGAATTGTGTATATCTCGTGCGTGAACGTGCCAAGGACACAAGCGAACGAGCCAGCTGAATGCCTTTTTGCCGTTGTTAACTTTCGGATATCCGCTTTTGACGAAACATATAAGGATTGGTTCGCCGTGGGCAGTGCGTGGCTGCCTCGAGGAGCATCTCATGGTCTCTCTGTGGCGCCACAAGCAACGAAGGGCCTTCACTTCCCTCCATGTATTTGCTTAACAGGCAAATACATAATAGAGAATTCCTGCATCTTTCACTATCACTATCCACTTTCCAGTGGACCTCAGAAGTCGATTACTCTTGTGATCTCTGCACGCCCTTCGACTTTTCCGTGTCCCAATGTTACGAAGAACGCACGTTGTAACTCATTAAGTAGCGGCCCATCGCTATCTAGCTTTTCGAAAGGGAAGCAATGGCCTGAGCCACCAGTGCATACGTAGTAACCTCGAAGTGGGGTTCCCATTCATATCCGCACGACCCATCTTTGGTGCTGCTAGAGCTGGCGAGTAGAGTTACCGTTGAATCAAACCCGTGGCCGGTGGAACCGCAAGTGCTGGAGAGCTGCTTAGTGTTCAGTAAGTATGAATTCCACTCGCTGCCTAAAACTGCAGTTTTATGTACAACATGGAGTAGTTATATTGCAAGAGGTCGGGGAACCTAAAGATAATATGGTTGCTTTTCGGCCTTTTCTACTGAAAAGCACAAAAGCCTCCCTTCCGTCCGTGATTCACAACCAGGTGCAAATGTTTACCCTTGCTCTGCATCAATCTATACCACATATACTGAAATAGAACACCATTCCGCCTGAAACGCTACGAAGGCAGTAGGCAATACTGTGGGAAGAATAGAAGTCCCTTAGTTGAGTGTCGACGGCGAGTGCTGCAACCGTGTCACTTGCGTTAGATTTTTTTACCATCTTTTGCCTGCATGTTGATGCTTCTTATAATGCTAATGATGCAGAACTACGTCCAGAACTGGAATTGTAGGGCGCTCTGAACGCGGCACCGAATTCACGGGTCCGCAGGAATCCAGCCCTCTGCTTGTCATGCGCGACTCAGCGGGTGCTCCGTGCCCCTTCATCCATTGCATCCTTCAAAAAACTCCCGTGATGGCGTCCCGCGCGTCTCAGCCATTTGTCCGCAGCTGCCTGGATTGACCTGTTGCCGCACACGGTTTCTGTGGAACTTCTGAATGAGCATGCAAAGCGCACCTGAGGCGCTAACTCTACAGAGTGCTCAGCATACGTAGCGCAGCCCTCGCCTGTATTGAAACTCTGAGGAATCAAAGTTACTTCAAGTGACGTGGGGATTACTATGTTAGTTGCTTCAAGTGACGTGGGGATTACTATGTTTCGTTGGATGCCATCTCAATTCTGAATCTGAGGTAGACATGTCTTCTGTCGTTCTGCAGCCTCCCGAGATATCCTCTCCAGTGCCATGTTGATTTTCTGGCGGTGTGCTTCCTGTTCAAGTGCACATCTTAGTGCCTTCATCATAGAGTTCATCTTTACGGATACCTCCACTGAAAACGGAGGCCTGGGGCAGATTTACGAGCGACTGCATAGTGTGTTTGTGATACATTGTCTATACGTTTTTGAGAGATATGGCCAGTTGTGTTCGGGATTTCGTCCATAAATATGAGATCCCGTATCTAAGCGTCGTACCTGCAGGCGACGCAAAGTTGAAACGTGGCCCCGGAGAGTTTCTTGTTCGCGCTCCTTGTGAGCTCTGATCACCTTTTGCTCCTCCTCCCACCCGCCTCTAAACCAAGCAAGTGCCGCCTCGTGATCTACTTTTTTAACAGGACGGTCATCAAGGTACCGCAAAGCTGGGAGATCTGCACAGCATGAACGTAAAACTTACCGCTAAGGGTACTATGCAATAGCTTTCTGATTGAAATTGCCACCTCTTGGCAGTAAAAGGATCCGTTATCGGACGATTCTGCAGGTGGACAAGATATTCCAATGTCGAGTGGGGGATGCCCATGGGAGTTCTGTTCTCCTGACCCGTACTTGCTATCAATGTCCGCCGATACTGCACGATTTGTCTGGTCACTGGGTTCCCCATCAAGCACAGAGTAGCCAGCCCTGGCAAAGACTTGAAGCACTCCACAAATCCTCTGCTTTCGTCAGCATTCGGAATACTATTTTCCGGCTGTGCTCCCTTCGCAGTTGGCCAGGGGGTAGGGGAGATACCATTTCTGTCTTTCTTTGAACTTTCCACCTTCACATGACACCCACTTGGGGCCGTCTGATTCATGTACGTTTTGTCATGTTGAGGGACATCTTCGTGCGAAGTTTCGCCTTCCTTGGGTGGTGTTGAAGGAGCAGAGATTAAAGCTGAGCAGCTGTTTTCATGAGGCACCGAGAGGCCAGGTAGCGCAATTTCGTCGTGAAAGCACAAAGAGTTGTAAGACATATCAACGTTTGTTAAGCTGGGACACCGTCTGAGACCCAAAATATCCTGCAAAGTCGAGCAGTACGAGGCAGACAATACTAAGACAGCTTTCAGTGGATGGCCACGTACGGATCATTCTGCGTGTTACCCACCGAAAGAGAGGTCAGCTTGTTACGAGCAATCTTGAAGGATGAAAGCCTCTTAAGTTTTTCAAGGCCCTCTATGCGGCAGATGCTGTTCTCCGATAGGTCCAAAACAACTAACTCCGGACAACTGTCGAGGTTTTCGATACACGTCAATCCATTTTGCCCAAGAAACCTAAGATGAACAGGCCATACGCAAACTATGATTGGTACCAAGTGAAGCCTGCACTTCCTATACAGGCCTTTTTCAAGCGCATTCGCTATTGCAACCCTCTGCACGAGTATAGACCAGAAGGGTACCCAGGCTGAGCCAGGTGGAAGCACCTCACAAGCACTTGAGCTTTGAGAGAGGATGAAGATTCTCTAGCCTTCGAATGCCATTTCCACCGAGCCAGAGAGCCTGCACCTCTGTATACTCCTCAAGGTTTTCGATCTTTTTGAACCCTCGGCGGTGCAAGTATAGCTTCGTATTCAACTCTGGCCGTTGGTAAAGCCCTGACTCTAAAACGACAGCAAGAAAGAAGCTTTCACGCATTTTTGCACTGTGCAACGGGCGTCGATTTCCTACGCAAACCTACGGTGCATCGTGAACCAGAGCAGGTCACCGCCAGCTGTACCTTGGCATATTTTGCGGATCATTTGCTTCGTCATCTGTGTCGCATCCTCCCGTGATGTTTGGGACCCCAGTCCAGCTAAAACCTCCTGCTTTGTACTGTGGGACTGTGATTTTGAAACGCAGGCCGTCTGTGGATCTGTGCTTGTTTGTTGGGGCCCCTCAAGGAAGTGCATATTTGGTTCCGTTTCGGCTTGCCCCATTCCCCGTAGAGAAAGCCTCGTCGCTGTCAGGGCAGTGAGGGAATATCTGAACTGAATGTTATCGAACCTGATTAGAATGTGTTGGCACCTGTAGAGTGAAGTGGGATGTTCGATAGAGGGTATCCTGGCGATAGCTTCTACCACTGACGCCTCTCCGAAATATTGGGAAGTGCAGAGCTATATCGAGCTCAGCAAGGTCCACTGAGACACTAACGCCCTCACACACGTCTAACCCCCCATTTAAGTGGAATGTCTTGTCTTGCACCAACACACGGCAACTCGAGATAACGCAGAGCAGATCCAGATCCGCGCACCGAACTAAATGCAGGTAAATGTGGACCTGCACAAGCTCTTGAAATGATGAAATAACGGTGCCTATTTCTGCAATACAATAGAACGATTGAGGAGAGGCATCTACAGGCACCGCCTGTAGATGCTGGCTGTTTGTTGGGCTGCTGAAATGAATGATATCGCTGGTCGTCTCCAAAGAAGTTGTGGATTTGCTGTATAGAATGTGTGCTCAATCGAGAATGTACCCCATTGGAGGAGTCTCTTTTCAAGTCACACCCGGTGTGCCCTCTATGCGACCCTCGGATATGAAGTCGCTGTGCACCTCGAGCGTGGTCCCACCACCCAAAAGTTAGCACCAGGAACTAGTAGGAAGCCCTATGAACCTTATGAGTCACATCTGTACTAATACACCTCAAGGGATTTGTTTGCTGGAGGAGCAAAACGCTGCAGTAGCCACTGAATGTTAGTCATTCAGTCACTGTATGCCAGTACGGCAGCTCCGCGCCTCGGCAGATTCCGTACAACTCCCTCTACCCACATACAGGTTATAGCAAAACAAACAGCAGGAAGACACAAGAGAACACTTGTCTGCACAATTGATAATTTTCTCCCCATTTTTTGTCTTGAAGGGTCATATCTGCTAATGTTAACAGCGTCGCCCGCGCGAGTTCTGTGCGCAGTTCCCGGTGGCAGCGACCACGGGGACCATTGCCTTGGAGCATTTGAATGCAAATCTTCCTTATTCCTTCCTTTTAACGAATACTTTCCATGCATTGGGAGGCCCCTGTATAGCCCCGTCTTTGCCTGGAAACACTTCGTTACGCTCAATCGTTTTGTAAGTCAACGACTACATGAAATGTTTACACCACACCACTCTGGAATACGGACTGCAAACCTACCCAAGATTACCCCAGAGAAGAAACCATCCTACAAACTGAAATATGCAAACTAGGAGTGTTTTGGCCTATCTGACTACTGGGGTAGGCTGTGCATTGTGCTGCTTCCGGCAGATAACCCTGGACAGCAATTAACAGCGGCGCTGACTGAGCTGTAAGTAGAACCAACGAGTAGGCATTTGACACTGACCAAGAGGAATTGAAGGTTGAGTCTGCTCTGCTTTGCAAGAAGGGCTCATTCCCATTTCCCCCCGCAAGTGCTGTAACGCTCGTGCGGTAGTCACCGTAGCAGCGATTGTTTTGCTCAACAGTACGTTATCGACTATCTGCAGATATCCTTACTTCCAAGTTTACGCCGGTCGTTTTTGGAGTGCCATCCCTTCTGTACATCAACAGTGCTTAAGCCCGAACTCAGTTCAGTTTGACGAAAATTCCCAAAGAGAAGCGCGTCGTTGAAATTTCCCAAGAATCATCTGCCCGCTGGGAAGTTCACTTTGCTGGAGGGTGTTTAACAGGATTGCCGGCCCTGTGTTCCGTGATGAGCTGAAATGATTTTAGGCTATTGCTGGCTTCGTCGTATTTGTATGCCATATGTTCCGTTCCATTCACTACAGGGTTCACGACGACCTGGTCAAAATGCTTTTGAAAAATACTTTATTAACGCGTTCACAAATGTTCTTCACTGCCTGGAATAACCACACTTGGGCTAGATACGCTCTCTCTGGCGTAGTAATATAGGAAGGGAAAACAATGAGGCGGTTGAATTGGGCACTAACAACAGAAGGCAAAGTTCTCCTCTTCAGGCGCCGGTAAATTTCCCAGCCCAACGAGCTCCATATTCAGCATGGGCTCGCTAGACATTGCTTTTGCTGTGACCTTCTCCCCCCCGTTTACAGTGCGTTATGATCCAGTTTGCAAAAAGGGCATTTGGTACTGCCACCAAAGATCGACCGTCGAATGACCTTAACTCACCAGTGTCCCCACTAAAGTATCCATCCCCTATTGTTTACATTCGCACACAAGCAAAATCGTCACAGCATTTCCAATTTGAGCGGAACACAGGCACAAAGGAGGTTTTAGCATCCTCAGTAAGGTAAATTGTCGTTCTCCGCAACCCCTCCACATGCCTGGGGAAGCATTACCTGTGTCGTATGTCCCCCTTGGCATTTTCGTCATTCTCTGTTGGACTGTCCACTGAGGGTCGAAACCTTCTTGAACTTCCTTTACGAAGCGTCGATCACTCGGAGCAAGGTAGGTCCAGTTTTCCAGCTGGTATGCAAGCCCATCTTTAAAGGAATAGTTACCACTCACAGCCAGACCGTCCTCCCACTCAGCTGTGTATCGACCGCCGTCAGGATAAATTAGAACTCCTATCAATAACGAAATTGAAACATAAAGTGGATGCAGCCACCGCCTTGAATATATAGGCATATATGTGTACATTTAGGGTGAAATATACTGACAAGCACATTTGCCGTTCATAACACTCTACCGGAGGTTTTGCCGCACATAGCTTGCCAGGGCAGACGTTCCATGGAGTTCAAGACTGTTAGCTAAATTCTGGACTTCCATGCAGAGCCACAATTTTGACTGCATCTCTAGTACAGGTGCTCATCCTAGAAAGCACTGTTGTGGCCCACAGAATATTGCGAAAAATAGTTGGTGCAACCGGGTACCCCCCTCCTCCTTCCCGACTTCAACAGCTTTTGAAGAGATATGTGAAGACCCAGATGGGATTTGCTTTCTCTTGTACTGGCTGAAACTGTTTGTGGCCCATGATGCACTGCATGAAGTGCAAGCACAGCCAGCTGTTTAGCATGGCCTTAGGATGAGCTCCCTGTACTTACCCCTCCCGTGGAAGTTACCTCCCTTGAACTGTCCCTCATATACAACCCCATTGGGGAGAACGCATCTCCCTTCTCCTTCCAGCCAGCCGTTGATCTTACGGCCGCTAAGGGTAGATCCGCTCCACTCCTGTTCCATGCTGCTGACGGGACTAGCGAGGACCTGCCGCAAGAAATAGCTGTCCAACAGTGATCATTCAGGCAGCTGTACCCACGGTAGTTCACCTTGGACTTCCCTGGCTAGCGCTTACTAACTATTTGGCATCCGAAGTTCGGGATTTTCTGTCCGCAATTTTCTCATTCTCCAGATGGATGGTGTAACTGCACTGGGACGTGGCTTCAGGTTGTTTAGAGCGGAAGACACATTCTCAAAAAATAAAAGATGTTGAATTTTCTATGTGGCTTTGCAAATCAATGCAATGTTTCACCCGGCTGCACTGGCAGAGCGTTGTGTCCAAATTCTCAGCCCCTGAAACAGTGCTGGCGCACGCTAAGGCAGCCAGAAAAACGTCGTCAAACCAAATAAGCTCATTTTTCTGAGCTTGGAGGTGGGTATAGACAGTATATGGGAGCAGTAGTACCAATTTACATATGGTTTCAGCTCCCGCTGCGCAGAGCTCAACCACCACGCGAGCGGTCACCTTAGCAGGGGTGCCACCGCAGGCGTCCTTCTGCTCCGAAATATTGCATATTAAAAAGCCCCAGCTCCTCAATAGGCTGATAGCCAAGTAGACTTGATTCAGCCTATTGTATTATTTTTTTGCTGTTCTGGATAATATCCAAGGCCCGTCCATGCTCGATTGTCTCGAGGAGCCGCTCGATCGAGCATAGTATGCTTCCCACTGTTTTTGAATGATTATTCGTCGTCCTGTCTTTAAGAACTTTTTAAGTTTAGTTAAGCTGCAGAGTATCTGGGGCTGTGGGCCTTCACGCTTCCGCTAGTTTCTACCAAACAGGCAGAGATGAGCTCGTTAACAAGTAGTCTACAATCTGGGAGCCGTATAGCTGTGGAACCGTCGGATCGCACTGCAGTTAACTCGTTCTCCTTGGATAAAGTGCCAATTGGAGACACCGGCTCCACTGGGAGAGTGCCGCCAACAGTGGCAGCATTTCAGTCGGTCACTGACTCTCCTGTGCACGGCGCGCCGAGCAGCGGGCCACCGACAGAAGCACGCCCAGTCCATGCCTTGACAAGCATGGACACCAGTGGTTCGCTTGCCGAATCTGCAGAACAGAGGCAGCTCGCTCATGTAGTGCCTTTGAGTAGTGGCCGGGAAGCCTTCGCTCGGCTTTATATCTTTGATTGGGACAATACGCTGTGCCCAACTGACTGGCTTTGTGAACTATACTCACGCTGCGGCCAAAGCGTCTATACAGCAAAACGGCCTTGTGCAGCTCTGTGCTCTCCTGTAATCAAAAGCCGTTTGGCTCTGCTGGAGACCAGCGTTCGGCGACTACTGCAAAAGTGCACGGAACGCGGCCAAGTGACAATCCTTTCCAACGCCACTTCTGTTGGTCTTCTCAAGACACTCAGGCTCCTCCCGCTTGTCCAACGGACGCTTACTGAGCTCAGTGAGTCTTCATTATATATGAAGACAGAAGTCTCTGTCTTCAGCGAGTGATTAATACGCAGCCTAAACCAACAGCAGTCAGGCTAAGCGCCACTCAAGTTACTAATGCCTCTACTAGGGCTGTTGCTGACTACTCCCTATTGCAGAGGTGCAGATTGTATCTGCTCGAGACATGTGCGAGCCTCATGGACTTCCACTGGAAAAGTGGAAGGATACTGCCCTTATTCGACTAGTCACGGCCTTTATAAACAAACGCCCACAGCAGAAGCACTCTATCATGACAATTGGTATGCCCTTATCTGTGCTTTTCTCCCCCCTGGACCGCGAGCAATGAAAGAAACTCTAGTATGCGCTAGGTTGCTACTACTTCCTTCACTGTTTTGTCTAGTGTCAGAGATGAGAAAATACTTGGTTCTGTTTCGCTTCCATGCTGCTGAATGCAGGAGACCAGCAACTAGAGCACATCGCGCTGCACAACGCAGCTTACCATCTGCAGCTGAGCTGCGGATGGGAGTGCCATCCGAAATGCATAAAATACGTGGAAAGCCCGTCATTAGAAGCCCTTACGCGGCAGACGTTGTTCTTGACAGAACTCCTCGATAGGTTTGCTGATGCGGAGAGCGGGACGTTTTGCATGCAGCTAAAGGATGTATTATCAGGGGGTTCGCTATCGTCTACGCATTGCTGAAGGCACTTCGACAGCACTCTGCCTCATGCTAGTAGTTTTTGCAAGTCAAGGCAGCCAAGGCTTATCACCTACTGCATTAGATATTCGGGTCGCTACTGCCCTCTTTCTGTCTCCACACAATCGCAACATTTGTCTATTCGTCGCATTCTTTCTGGACCACTCTAACTCTGCGAAATGCTTTCTTTGGTTCTTAGAGATAGTGCCTTCAGCACTGCGCTAATCCATTAGTTTTCCCATGGTAGCTGAAGAAGAAAAGCTGCATACGGAGTGGCACTTCAAGCTTACGGGGGCTTGGGTCTCTTCAAAGGCGCTTTGTTAGCCTATCGATGAGCTTTCACTGTAGCAGGAACTTACTCTTGTCACTTTTTCAGAGACGTCCGGCGAATCAGCACCATGCAAGCTAACGTTAAGTAACCGCACCTGGCAAATCCTACTGAGCCTACATAAAGTCAGAAACGTTGTACTGGCGTCAGTAGAAAAAGCGCTGGCATTGAAGTATCCATAAAATTCCCACTGCTTCCGGTAAAGAACGGCTGCAGGCTTAGACCCTTTCAACCGCAATTACTTTGTACTTATTTTACCCGGAATTACTTCCGAAAGTCAAGTGTGGTATAGTCTTTCAAAGTTGAAGAACAGTTCACACCCGAGACTACTAAAACTGTTACGGAAGGACCTCAGAATTTTAGTACTTTCGAGTGTCGTGGGCCAGACCTCTCAAGGAGTTAGATATGCTTGGTGGAATGCATAAACCCGAACCTTTTCTCCGGAAGAATTTAAATATCACCTATGCAGACACATCCACATACTACATTCCCATAGTGTCCAGAATGTAGCTGGCAAGAGCACACGATGCACTGCTTGTGCACCAAAGCGGACCGTGAAACCTTTTGATTGTAGTTTGCAGAGTGTAGAGATGCTCCCGCACCCACTGGAGCCTCAATTTATTTTGGACAACTTTGGGTAATTCTCTAGTCCGGAAATATGGTGTTGACCCATCGTTCACTTTCCCAGCGCATTGATAAGAATTTCTTTTCTGTAAGTACACATTCTTCCCTGCAGATATCCAATATGTTGGGCTACGAACCTCTAAGTTGAATAGTTGAATGTTGAAGGCGGGGCAATTTGTGGGGTCTTGGAGCTAGCATGCAGGTAAACTGCATCCAACTGTCCCAATTTACGGCGGGGGAAGCGGGGGGGAAAAAGTATCCACTCAAACAGGCACTAGAAGACTGGCCTCACCGCCAATCCTATAGATTGCAGACAGTCACAACTCACATCCCCCAACTTGTGAGTCACGGGGGAATCTACATTCTGCCCTGAAAGTCGGCAGACGGGTGAATTTACTGTGCCAACAATTCTCATGCAGGACACTGCAAGAACCCAGACTGAGGCATTGCACAAGAAGCAAAGACAGATCCTGTAATACACTCATGCTTTGCTCATACAACAGCCGGAGTTATTGGGCTGTCTTCTCTACACCACAACAAAACGTCGTTTTCAGATAGGTGGAGCTAAGAAGTGCTTCGTGGGATGTAGTTCTCACGAAGAACGGGGAGTACAGCAGCTCCTGGTTGGGAGAGTAGGAAAACTAGGTATGTAGGCAGCATGTTTTATCTTGTCACTCACTCTCAAACTTGATAGATTTCAGCAAAAATCAATTTCTAATTAACCTCTACTGGGAGAGGGCCATCCTATGTTGCCATGCGCCATTGGTGGCTCTGACAGTGAACCAGCTTTACTTGAACAGGTGCTCCTGTCACTCTCTAGAGGTCAGACGTGGGCATATAGCTGAGGGCTAAATTGACGTACTTTGCTAAGTGCACAAAATCAGCACCCCTTTGGGTCTAACGAACAGCTTACAGAGGAGCCTTGATGACGTGGTTCCCTGCCCTGAGGAACCCTCCGCCACATCGATTCCCTGCTAATTTTAAAAGGCATAGAGGCTTTTCAATGCAACTAAAAACAGCTTTCAAGTGGAGATCTCTGCCGTCTCGATCGCGAAACGCAGAGAGATCGCGCAGACGGGTTCCCAGCCTGAGGCGAAGAGGAGAGAACATGATTGCTCCATTTCCGTTCATACTCGCCTGCCCCAATTACTTTTTGTCTCGGATCCTAACCTAATAACAGTGGAAGCAGCATGCTTCATTGGTCATCGCCCTTTGTTAGCAGGTCGCATGCTCGCTTGAGCCCTTCGAGCTGGGTCACTTTTGTCTGACGGCGGCGTAAGGAAGTCCAGGAGGCCTATACATTGGCAAACTTTTGCTTTTGAATCAATTGACCAAGGTGATACAGCCAATCTAGGTTTGTGGAGTGACTTTCAGGTGAGGCCTTGGACTCAACGTGGGACCTGGGCCTTGCGTGATCAGAAACGCCGAGCTCAGCAGCGCCAAGGCCCGTTCATGAGAAATTAAGCAAAATACTTTTTCGAGGAATTCAGATTTTTCGGAGGCTGTGTGTTCCCTTCCCCAAAGGCAGTGTGGGCTTGGACTGAAACTGTTCTAGCTATTCTGATTGACACGCGTTTGCCCCAGGGAAAAGTACGCTGCATGTGCTCTTACGCAGTCATATTGCGCTTAATATATACCATCATATTCCAGGGGGGGAAACACCTCAAAACTCATTTTCGGCAAAGCTATCGTTCCTTGCTTGGCTAGAAGGATGCTCGGGTTTCCAGACTTAGAGGTGGAGAAAATTAGCTCGAGCACTTATGGATGGAAGCGCATCCTTGTAGCTCTCAACGGTGAATTTTCTGAACCGAAGCAGCTCAAGTTACCCCCACAGACAACGTTCGCCACTTTTCTCGAGCGAAGCTCAGCACTACATGAGTTAGGTAGGTTCAGCGAACGCTACGTTTACACCTGTGGTGGTCCTAACCCTAGTGGACGGCGCTGTACTGAGTTAATAGCCACCGACGTGACGCAGTACAGAGAACCTGTAAGGCAAATGCAACTAGAAAGTCCATGCGGATGCAGCGGAGCCCGCAAAACGAGCGTTTTCGGACAATGGAGAGGAAGTATTTGATATGGAGCAGATCCTCGATGATGACCTTGTCTACATTTCAGCAGGTTCAGAATTCATCGTTGGGAACTACGGCAGCACTGGAGGAGGTAGGCGAAGGTAGGGGTACAGTATAATGGGTCAGTTGCATGCGATGCTGAGCGCCGAACACGCCAGTCCTCTCCAAACGCCAATCACCCGACATAGCTGCGTTTCCATGGAGACACTGCCATTCCGTGCCACTTTATCCTTTGCACTCACTTCTAAACGCTGTTCGGATAGTGCTTTGAACCTCAGCTGTTGGTGGGTATATTTTGAAAGAAGTTATAGGCAGCGGCGGATTTGGCAAAGTCTACAAAGGCATTCATCCCGAGACTGGTTGGTAGAATTGAAGGCAGCTTAGAACATGACATACGGTCTTGCGCGTTTATAAACAAAACGAGGTGTTGACACCAAGATACACTGCATCATAGACCTCATTCCAACGCCCGCCGCAGTTGATAGGCAACCTCTGAGTTAGCATACCTAGCTCGACACCTTTGTCATTATATGCGGCACAATTTGATGCTTTACAGGAGAGTTAGTTGCAGTCAAGTTCATTAACAAGCAGTCATTTAAGGAAATTGATGATGCGGATAGAGTCTTCGTTGAAATACAGGCGAGGCAGAATCGACGCTCGTTTATAGGTTATTCACCTCTCGCCTATCCTGCTTCGGAATTCGGGAGTACAAACTTGCCACAGACTATGCAGTGCCGCTAAACGAAGTAATAGAGTAACCTGGGCGAGTGTCTTCACCTTTTCAAGACGGGCTATTCTACTTAGTCTTGGCCTCAGCGTTGGTCGGTTGTGTGGCAGGCACTGCGAGACCTGTCACACAAGCATGTCATCAAGATGTTGGACGTCGTAGCACATCCTAAATTCGTGTGCTTTGTGATGGAGTTTGCGAGCCAAGGCGACCTCCGGGGCCTCCTACACTCAGAGGGCCGTCTATCGGAAGACCGTGCGAAGCACTTCATATTGACAGTCCCGTGACCAAAAAAGCTAGACATTCACGCGCCACTGCCCTTTGCACGCAAAAAGCCGATAAAGCGTTCTGTGCGGAAGGCACCTTTAATTTAGCAGTCTCACATTTTTGCAGGGGCAAGGTCCTTTTTCGAACAAGTACTCAAAGGCGTGCACTATTGCCACTCCAAGAACATCGTCCACAGGCGAGCAGTTCACTGCACTAAAATATTTAGCAACAATATTATTGGAGGTTTCCTGAGGGCACGTGGGAACGTATTCGTGGAAAGTTTGTTTCGAAGCCACCCCTATCGAGTAATCGAAGGACCTGGAGGATAATCGTGGTGGACGTATAGGTAAGAACGAGCGTCTCTCCTTTCAATATATTGGTACCGCAGGGATTTGAAATTGGAGAACATTCTACTAGATGACTGCTGCCGATGCAAAATTGCGGATTTCGGACTCTCGCACTTCGTAGTTGGCAACACCGGTATGAAAACGGAAGCGGGGACACTGGCGTATTTGGCTCCTGAAGTTTGGAGCCAAACCTCACAGTACTCAAGTCCATTCCAACTAGATGTTTGGGCTCTTGGTTAGTTCTACACGCAAACCAGAAGAATTATTTTCCCCTTTTGTCAGGCTCGCATAGCGCTTATTTCATCGCCTAGATGGAAAAATTCATATGGCGGTGGACATGTGCAAGGAATGCGTACCGCTGCCGCCTTAAAACATTTCTTGCTCTCATCCCGCAGGCGTGATTCTTTATGCGCTGACTCAAGGAAAGCTACCTTTTTCTCGAGCAGACAAAGCAGTCGTTGATCGGCTGTACAAAGTAAACCTCAGGCAGCCAAACCAGCGGGACTCCAAGTTTGTGCCAAGGCTGTCCAAGGGCTCACTGAGTGACTTCGTATTCCTTTGTAAAGCCAATGCGTTGCGTCTCAGCAAAATCTGGCATTTGATGGGAATCCGACTGCTGAACTGAAGCGCCTAATCCTGGGAATGTTGCATCCAGATCCACGGAAAAGGCTGAACCTTAGCGACGTTATGAATGCGCCTTGGATTAAAGCGGGCAAGCCGTGGCATCTAAAAGAAATGCCAGAACAGCCACCATCAAAGCCTCTCAACGCTATATTACAGGGTACTGTGATTCAAGGTGGGTTGCGCAATCGTGGCTGGGAACATCTCAGCGCACCGGAGCTTAGCTAGGTTCTACTCACGTCTGCTCATTCTGCATGAGTTAAAACAAATTTTCGACGCTTCTGGCCTTTTGGCATATCTACACTGACAGAGGCTCACTGAGTATTAGAACCACTGGTGCCTGCAAATATGGTTGCACCCTGCATTTGCTTTCTTGTGTTGCAAATTACCAGAAAACCACCGAGAAGCTGATCAGATTTCAGTTCAGGATGGAGCTGTGTTGAACACCCAGCGATCAGAAATGAATACAAGAAAATATGCGCCAGTTTCTGGCGATGATGACAACGACAGAAAACGTGAGCCAAGCGGCAGTAAGAACACCACTATACAGAAGGTGCCGGCAAGGCAGCCTCGCTCATAAAGGCGCAGAACGAGATAAATGCCCCAATGAGGCTTTTTCGGCCTGACCACCTTTGCACTGCTAAACTTCCACTTAGTGCAAACACCTGACAGCCAGTTTGTCTCCAACGGAAAAAGGAAGCGTTGTGCATGATGAGAGGCGAACATAAGACTTGTGCAAACTGGCCAGCCGGTGGAACGTGTGCACATGAAAGAGCTAGAGAGCTTCCAAGAATCCACTTTTAATTCCAACCTTCAATAATAAATATTAAAGGGTTTCTACCGCAAGCTATCGCTAGCAACAATCCATCTGCTGTTCGAAAACTGAAGTGTGAGGAACCTCCAGAAAAGCTAACCACCATAGCAGGCTTCAATAGAGGCCCTTGCAGGAATCCGAATCCCAAAAGCAACGATACATTGGGATGGTATAGCGTATGCCATCAGGATGCTTGCTGGTCTCGTAGCTTCATCAGGAACCGTTTTGTGCAGCATCTCGCCATATGCGCATCCCCGAATACGCACCATTAGTTCGACACATCAAGAAGCCCAAGAATCCCTTGGCTATCAAGTTGGGGCAGTAGTTGCGACTATAGCCTGTGCATTCGGTTCATAATGCTGCGTTGGCCCTAGGATTCCGCTTGGATTAAATGACGATCAGTTGTTCGTAGCCATTACGGGACGGCTACTCCTGCCCTTTCTGAAAGGCGAAAGGTCACCTCTGCGGGAAAATCTCACACGAAGTGAATCGTCTAAACAGCTAGCATTAGCAGATTGCATCTGACTGCAATGTTGAGGTCATCATAAGACCTTAGATTCCCCTTTAGCAATGTTGCATTTACATGATTTCCTGCGACCTCATAGCCTGCAGACTACGCGGGACCGTTGGCGCAGTGGAAACAGCGGAGCTGAACCGTGAACCTGTATGTAAGGTTCCATATGCGCCTCCCAAGAGCGCCCAATATCCGCGCGATTTCGTATTACCATGGGAGTCGTTTTTGCAGACAGTTTTGGAGTGCAATTGGAAAGCGGCGAGCTCTGCCAATTGCGGCAACTTCCTACATTCTGCAGAGCGTTGTGCTGCCCTCCTAATAACTGCCGTAATTTTGGTCTTGATAGTGATAATCGGTGAACTGATGCCAAGAAACTGACAAACATGCGACGCAAACGCACAGCCGTGCATCAGACAAACAAGCATGATGACAGAGTGGAGTCAAAGCACAAGCCAAGAGCCTGCTTCTGCAGACAACGCAAATGGTGCCTTTTCCCAGAGGGCCTGTGAAAGTCGACAATATTTAAGTGCCCATTAATGTTGTTTCAGGTGGGATTGGCAGACTTCTGCCTAAGCTCCCTTTACTACATGCAAGAAAAAGGACGACCAGCTTGTGCGGGATGGCTTAGCTTTGTGGAGTTCGTCCGTTGTCTCCTGACTAGACACGGTTCGTCAGGGCTTACACCCTATGGGAGGTACCGCCACAAAAGGCAGGGCAACGGAGCGCACTGTAGCATTGAATGAATTGTTCGAATTGAGCGCTGCCAGATCTGCCTGTTTCTCTTCTCGGAATTATTGTTCTGCATTCAATTCAACTGTAAACTGGTTAACACCTGAAGCAATTTTTACATGATGATGCAAAAGAAGAAGTGCAATTATGTTCCCTTGTTCGCAGGGGCAGAGTTCCAAATCTCTAGATTATGCCAGCTTAACCTACGTCGGGGATCCAGCCACTCAGGGGCTTCGGCCTGACCGTGTAAAAGGATCGGCGCAAACAGGCGAATTCTGCAAGGCAATTCCGCAAGTGCCACACAAAGATGAAGCGCATTGACTGCCTCGCCACTTGCCGATGATATGCATGCACGGGCCAAAGGGATCCCAGGCATGATATTGTTAGGCAGCGCCCTAGCGGCTTTAGTTGTCCTGGTTGTGTCTAGCCATCGCCACTGTAAGTTCTGAAAGTTCGAAAGTGTGCAGCCCACTAGAAGTATTGCACCAATCCATAGCACCACTGCCAATTTCTGGAACGCAACCTCTGTGGAAGCTGATGCAGCTTCTCAGATCCTCTCCATGCAGATGTTCAGTAGCACACAGCTATATGTGAATGGTCGAAATCATTCCTGGATGGGGACCCAATGGATTTTGGCTCGGCGAATGAGTTTTGAGGGCGACTTCCACACGGGACAAGCAGTTGTACCTTTTATAGCTGCGTTTCCGATGCATGAAGATTGCACCTCGTCTTTTCGGCTGCCCAATCAAAGAAACTGGGGCGATAATGGAGCAAACATGTGGGCACATTTTCTGCGCAAACCTCTCACGAAGCATGCGTCTGGTCTTCAGGCTACGTAACCGAAGATACTCTGGCACTAACAAGTGTTAACGAAAATTCTCGACGCGCATAATTATCTGTGCGCAGTAGTGCCTCAATTTTTCTCGCAGAGCTTGTCGCCCAGGGGGGCCTCTCAACTGAAGGAAATATTGACAACAGAATTTCACTTGCGGAAATCAAGAGGCTAAGGTAGATAAAGCAGACAGGAAACCATGAGACACTCTACTCGTACACTCAACCTTTTGAGATCCGCTATGTCACTGCAAACCATGCACAACAGACCACAGGAGACGCTGACGTTGACACTCAAAGCCCACTGGTGGCAGCCTACATTTGATTCTCAGCTGCCTACTATAGCCAAATGGACAGGCTACAACGGTGTTTTCTATGCATACTTTTCGTTTTAGGTGGACATTGGCCTCCCACATGCCTCGCGAGTTCCCCATTGTGGCATGGCGTTAGAAGTTGAGGTGTCTACGGAGGGTTAACCCCGTGAACAACCCAAAATTATCGTTTACTGTGCAGACAAAACTATTTGTAGAGAGCACAGTCTGAAGCGGCGCGTGTTTCATCGACCCCAAGGGCAGCACCCCGGTGGACCGCCCCCCACGGGAACGGTGACCCCCGATAAAGAAGAGGAATGCGACCATTTGCATGAAAATTTGTAGGCAATAAACTAGTAGACTTTCTCTGGCTGAATTTCGGAACCTCGTCAGTGTTCTTCGTTGCAGGCATCGTCCTCTAAAAGGAGTACTCCCGTTGCCTCCTCGTCCTCCACCAATGGTGGGGCCTCTCCACAGGGGCGTATTGGCTAGATGATCTCCCAGGAAAGCTAGAGTTACAACTAAATTTGCGTTGCTGCCCTCTCCTACGTTTTTGTTGGCACAACAATATTTTTTGATACCTAGTTCTCGACGTGCTCCACTGGTGCGTCTCGTGTCATTCCATAAGCTGAAAATTCTAGAGAAAAGAGACAGTTCCAAAGGCGCCGTTGATCATTTATCCACTTCACTTTCTTTGCCCTACCTCACCACAAGCACTCTGCCCCAATTTGTTTTCCTAACCCCACCTTGACGTTGGAACGAGTTCCCAGAACGCAAGTACTTTTGCAAGCGCTTGCCCTGCTTGTGAAAGCATCCTTGCTCTTGCAGCTTAGCGTGTGTCCGAGAGTTGTCTATCCTCTAGTGATATCTTAAGGTGCACCAACTCTCCCTGTCATGTTAAGAGTGGGTAGAGATGAGGGCCTCGGTGCTGCTGGCACTGCTCCAGGCCGTTTTCAGAGCGATTGCAGCTTCACAGGTCGAAGCAGAAACAGGAACTACAGAGCATCATGGGGGTTTTGATCCGCCTGACGGTAAATCTCACTGGAAGCACACACACACAGACAAATACGACATTGCTTGCCTGGACATTAAACTACAGCCCATGCACTTTGGAGCCGCCACAAACACCAGAAAGTACCTTGGCGTTAGCGACAGGTGCAACTTTTGCTCTACAACAGTGTAAGCAAGCGAGGGTTTATTTCCCTTTACCCTAGATTGACTGGATCAAACTGTACTTGCAGTCTTCACAAGCACGACAGTGGAAGTGCAATCTCGAGCCTTATTGGTCGGTCCTGGGCAAGCCTTCGACGTTACCGTACGCATCGATGGAAGCCTCACAAACGATCCACAACGGACACCTGTATTGTTGGGACTTCAGTTTGTACCAGTCGTCACCATTGACGCCCCGATAGACTTGACAAGTTCTTCAGAATTGTTGTGGAAGCCACTGCAGGGGGACAAGGCGAACTGGACAGTGAAGCTACATCGAACCGGAAGCTACCGGGCAGCCGTAGCTGCTAAAATCCCCTGTAGCTATCACAAACCGAACTTCAAACTGCCAGATCTTCGAAGTTGCAATGAGCGACTACCACTGAAACTAAAGTCCGATTTCAGAATTAGGGTGTCCCAGATTTCCGCTAGATTGGAAGCCTCGTGGAAGAAACCACAGACAATAGAAAGCCTTTCCGTTCTAAATACTATACCCCAGGGAGCTCTTCGAATCTATGCTTTGGCGCTCGACAGCTCCGCTGTGCTACAAAACTTCAGGGGCATTGTACAGCTTGCAGCAATTGCGATGAATGGCGATGACAATTCACCGCTACCCGTCATTGGAGGCCAGACGACTGCACCCCTCATCGATGGAGTAGCTACGTTCCCCCAGCTCCAGGTCCTTCAACCAGGGGCGTACAAGCTTATCGCTACTGCCGATGGTGCACAAGCGGCTGAGAGTGCCCCATTAGTCGTCACCCCACCAGCCTCCCGGATTCTTAGGTGGGTTTTGTGTAAATTTTTCCGTAACATTAGCAAAACAAGGCACACGTTTTAGAGCACTACACTCAACGCCTGCTTAACTCAACGTATGATGAAGCATGGGAAATATAGCGCTCTGTGCTAACTCAATCAGGGCGCACTAGGTGTACTGTGTGACTGCCAAGACAATATAGTCTTGGCAATTCCCATTGTGCAAGGAACCTGTAGAATGCTCCTGATTATGCAGGTTCTGCGAACAGCCGCCAGCGGTGGTATTTGTTCCTCATTTCTCCTCCGTACGAGTGGCAGTGGAGGTACTTTTGCCTACCGGGGGAAGAGACACAGGTTTCGCGGGCCAGATGCAGCTCCAACTGGAAAACTTTGCTGCCGAGGATGAGCTACTGCAAGACGTTTACAAAACTCATTGCCACCAAGGCCTCTGCCTATGGGACAACGTACTTCTCACAGGCCCTCCAGGAAGGCACCAACTGAAGGCCACAGCGGTGGACCATACCGCATCCGTGGATGGCATGCACAGACTTACTCGTCCTGCAGTCTCTGCCCCAATTATGTTCAAGGAATTCTCCAAGGCCCAACCCCCAAATACAGGCACGAGGGATCCTCCTCCGTGGCAAAAGGAGTTAGATATGAACGTTACGCTCAAGTACGACGCTTAGGCAAATAATGCGGCTTATTGTAGATCATTCCCTTCCGCTTGGAAAAGCAACTGCTATGCATTGAGTACAGCAGATAGTGAAGGAACCGCGTGCGCGGTCAACAGATGTAGAATGCATCGGTGACTTGCACTCTTTTTCCTTGGGACTTTAAATGTGCTTGGATAGATCAGTGGGAGTGCTGTTCAGGTTTGCCCAAGCGGTCCCTGCTGATGTCCGGGTAGGGCAACCGTGGGATCTGGAGGTGATTGTGGGTGGAGTTAACCCGACCCTCCCAAGAAGCATTCTATCAAGGGAGCGCTCTCTGCGGCAGCGAACAACAGCAGCGAAGGCGTCTGGCCGGGGTGGATGGAACAGCTGGGCGCAAAATATCAGCTTTTTCAGCGTGCTTCATCGGGGGCACTTTCTCAATCGCCTCAACTATAGGGGGCGAAGCAAGGGGCTTCATAGCAGCAAGATTTCCCTACATAGACTTCATGTGTCCATAGCGAAGTCTTGGCCGGAAAATTTGATTTCCCTAACCGGCCGAACTTATGCGGCAACAGACGACAACGGGCGAGGGACACTAAGTGGCCTAACACTGTGGCTTCAGGACCAAAGAGCCACCGCTTCTCTTCAGTCCCCTTGGGTTAAACTTCGCGTGGAATGCGTGACTTGCGGCATGTACAAAGGGCAGCTCCGTTCACACTTGGAGACGCCTCGGATCTTTCTCAATACTTCTTCCGTTGTTGGCGTGTATATTGACGTTGCCAGCGCTGCATCTGCCCTTGAAAAATGGCGGTCGGAAAAGAAGATTTTGAATGGGACACATGATACAATCGCTGCTCTTGCCCTTCCTGGGCGTCCGGCACAAATATGTGTGCAGCTTTTCGACAGGCCATTCTCTGACGTCCTTATAAAAGCGCAGCATGGTCTAGGGCTTGCTCTCCTGGGTGACGCCAGCATTCGCATCTCTCCTTACATTTGGCCCATGCCTGCATGTTGGCACTTTGCAGCAGTAACAGTACGACAAGTGGATATGCATCATGCAGAGCAAAGAGTGTCCTTCCAGCTTTTCAGCGCCGATAGTACGTTCAGCAGCAAGGGTGGGGTGCGCTGGAGAGGTATGGCAGCTCCTGATGGGTCTGTCAGGGTTGTTGTGCTGCCATCTCGATCCTTTCCTGGTCGAAATCGGCTCCGCTACATCCTTCAAAATTCAAGGCCTAGTCATATTGTGAAGTTAAGTTCCGATCAATTCGGGCAGCCAAAGTGGATAGAGGTGCGCTCAAGTCCATTGAAGGGACGTGCCCGGATTCTGGTAAATCCGTGGTCAGCAGCATCTCGACGAAACAAGCAACCATCTGCTGCTTTAATACGATGGGTTGACGAAGAGGTTGACGCCTTTCTACAATGGAAGGCTGTAGGTTTAGTTGTTGAGCTTGTGCCGCCGCAAACCTTGGTTGTGCTGGACATAAATGTCACCGCCCCGCCCGCCTCTAGCGTCGATGTAACGGGACAGTGTATGGATACAGATGCCGGCAACGCCCTCTTGGCAACAGTAAATAGGTCATTTCGCATGCACAGCTCTAAAGAACTGTCAGACGCCCACGGGCAAGAAGGATATTCGGCCCAAATGTGGCGACAACTGGAGGTACTGCTTGACTGGGAAAAACTAAGTCCAGCTACGGGAGGGCTGCTTCATCACCACGTGGTTTGCGAATTCCGTGCCAAGGCAGACGGCATAAAACAGCATTTGCGAATTCTCCCCAAAGCGTCAGTAGACATAATTGTTGGTGAGTTTTGGCAGTGCAAGCATTGGCAATCGTTCTGCTGTAATAGGGATTTTGGTGTTTCCTGGATCCGTTTCCTTCTCAGTTGCTCCACGTATACTGGGAGCAATTCGTACCAGCGACCTTTTGCACACAACCTGCAAGCGATGTTGCATTTTTTGCAGTCCGGAAGCAATGCAAGGAAGGCGAGGTCTTCACCTTTCAGCGAAATTCGTGCGAGCCTTGTCCAGAGGACTTTGAGTGCTCACTTGCCACTCTGAAGCCGTGCACTGCCGGAGAAGTCAGCCCTCTAGGAAGCCTCACTTGTCAGGTCTCGACCTCGTAAGCATCTCGTAATTTAAATTAAGTTAGACAGACTCCCAAATTACTTGGACTTTGATGTAGATTGTTTGATGCATCAGGTCGCTCACACCCTTTGGGGTCGACGCACCTTATGTTCCCGTGGACAGTCCCCGTTACTTAATGCTGTGGAATGTAACAGATGTTAAGTCACTGCCTTCGTCACCCTGTTTTATTTTTGCCACTGCAGTCATAGAGAATTGAAACATATTGGAGCTTCAGGCCGCGAAAACACAGACTGCCCAATGGGCATGTACCTCTCAGACAGAAGAGCGAGTACCCCAAAGTGTAGCATATGCCCCGCAGGCTTTTCTTGCCAAGCTGGGAAGAGAGAACCCTGTAGCCAGGGCACATACTCTCCTGTCGGCAGCGGGATTTGCTACCCGTGCCCTGATGACACAATTTGCACTGACCCCGCACAAGCACCAAAAAGATGCCCCTTTGGATGGCAACGCAGGGGAGAAGAGACACTATGTACTCCCTGTCCTGCTGGAAAAATGTGTGGCATTTGGAGCGGAGGTGTACCAAGAGGTTTATCTGAAGTAGGATGCCCCATGGGGACATATACAAAACAGCAGTACCCAGGGATGTGCGTCCCTTGTCCACCTGGGTACCAATGTCCAGATCCACAGGGAATACCGGAACCATGTCCTCCTGGGACCAGCTCTCTAGGAGGCAGGCATAGATGCTCCGCAGCTCCTGTTGGTTTGATCGTTGAGCCAGGGAAAGAGCATCTACCTCCTAGGCCTTGCGACGACGGGCTGAGACCTCTCGAGCTAGCGGGCCAGTGGTGGTGCGGCATTGAATATGGCGACGCGAATCCCGAGCCTGTTTCTAGCGGCTCACCAATGAGGTCTTCCCCAGCCGACAGTCTTGTACAAGCAAGGCTAGATTCGTTCCGGAATATCTGCGAGCTAGACTGGCTGGACCACATCCAGTGTTTCTGGTCTAGTCTACCGCCTACCACGTGGTGCCCAACTTACCCCGCAAATCCCCAAAAGTTGCCAACTCATATTGATACAGCACCATTCTTCCCTCAGGGTGGAGGTTACACTCAGTTCTTCACCTCCTGTGGCTATACAAGGACGCTTTCTCAGGATAATACCCATGTATGGCTTTGAAGCTAGTCTCCACAACAACTAGATGTTTACCGCTGCATTACGGACAACTCCTGAAAGACGAATTGAAGCAGACCCTCTGTACATCTATTGAAAGCTTTATGTTTGTCTTGTCTCTGATCTACACAGAATATTTGTAAGGAAAAAACGAACTCCCGGGCTGTTTGGGGATCACTGGCGACCAAAGAAAGTGATTGCCCGATTGGCTAGTGCGCCGTGTCGAACTCATCTCACCGAAGTGCAGTCAGGCAGCTAAGAATAAACATCGTCACTTGCCAAGGCTTCCAGTAACAGTGAGAATGCCAAATAGAGCCAATTGGTAGACGCGCTTTATCTGAGCCTACCTTCTCTCCTGAATGAAGGTGCGTGTCGTGCAGTGTCTGCGGCCCCAATACGTTTCGTCCAGTAAAACCCGGCTACTTCGAAGTTTCCTGGCGAGGAGGCGTCCAAACATTAAGTGGCAAAAGTGAGGGTCCAAAGGAGTATCCATGCTGGAAGGGCTACAGGTGCGAAGGCTCCTACCACTGGCCTGTGCCTTGCCCACCGGGGACGTACGCCAACGACTCTGGAACAGATTGCATCAAGTGCCCAGCAGGCTGGCCATGCCCCATGAGTCGCACAAGTAAAGCTCAGCTGGTCGTACCTTGCTGGCCTGGCCACTATTGTCCTGAAGGCTCCGCCAGCCCGACAGCTATGGCGTGTCCAGCAGGGACTGTGAACCACAGCACGGGTGCAAAAGATAAGTCGGCATGCAAGCCGTGCCCAGCTGGATGGCTTTGTGAGGAGAGGTCCTTCCAAAGTGTAGGATTGGAAGCCTGTCCTTCAGGCCACTACTGCCCTGAGGGGTCCCAAAAAGGCATCCCTTGCCCAGCTGGGACCCACACACCTTACCCAGGAGCGTCCGACAGAATGACGTCCGCTAATGATTGTGTGGCATGCGTGGCCGGCTATTACTGCAAGCAGGGCACTAGCCTTTTCGACATGCTCTCCCAGCCGTGTGCAGCAGGTACTTACATACGGGTTGAAATTCACATCCGTTAGTCGCACATAAGGTGACCCAAACAGAAGTATTCTGTGACGTCGTCTTCTGTGTGCTTTCCTTGTGTAATCCACGTACATTCTGGAGAGCAATGCAACATTTTTGGGGCTTCTCAGGCCGCGTCTGCCCTGCTGGAACGGCCTCAGACAAGGGACCGAAATGCCTTCCTGGCTTCTATAGCAGTGTGACTGGCTTGACAGATGTGTCCGAGTGCCTACCTTGTAAGGCTAACGAGTTTTTAAAAGTTGTATCCTCGGACTGCTCAACTTTCTCCGTTGATTCCCCCCCCGCTGTCCGGAGGGTGTGTTCTTTGTTTTCCGCAGGCCCAGCTGGACACTACTGCGACTACGGAGATGATAACAGCGCTCCAAGCAAAGTCACTGGGAAGTGCCCTGAAGGGTTAATGTCCCTCAACACCGGACTGTTTGGTGCTGGGCATGCATTGCGCACTATTGAGGCCAAACCTGGTACGCAGTGCTCTCAGGAGTGACGCTAGCATTGGGGCCTGTGAAACCAGCATACACGACCAATGGAAAATATCGTCTGCCCCGACAGCATTTCTTCACATGTTTTGCATGGCAAACTCGGGCTAAATCTTACTTTCATTGGCAAACGCTTCACCTTTTAGAATGCCGTACTGCCATCACTCCTGAATCTCCGGAAGGGGACATTGGGTTTTTGCGTGCTTTGGAGCAGATAGGGCAACCCATTCATACAACCGTAATTAGTAAATGAACGTCCCGTTTTATGTGTGCCTGTAGGTCAAGATGCGCAATGTGTAGTTTGTGACCCTGGATTTCAGTGCACGGCCGGTCAGCGGCTAGCTTGCGACAGAGGATTCTACTCCGATGGAGACAGTGGCAATCCAACATGCAAACAGTGCCTAGCGGGTCACTACTGCTCGGAGGAAGGGACTTCACGAGAACAAATGGAGAAGCAGCAGTGCCCAGCAGGCGCATACTGCGCGGCCGGTGTCGCTTCTGTCCCCGTTCCCGCAAGCCACCCCTGCCCAGCAGGGAACTATTGCCCCAAGGTCAGGGACGACGCCTTGAACTTTTGTGAAATCGCTTCCACCATGCTGCCATTGTAGATCTTCAGCTTGTCGTCCTCCCCGATTGTAGATCATCCTCTACTGTTTGATCATGTTGAGCGCTGGGCTACCTTATTGACACTGGACGCCTTCACTCTATCTAATATGTTTAGGGAGACCCAGACCCTTGGCAAAGACTTGGCCTCTAAGTCGCTGGGACTTCTGAACGTTGCGCTTTGACTACTCAGGGGACGGACAAGCCTGTCAAGTGTGGACCAGGGACTGTCAACCCTAAATCTGGCCAGGTCAGCGAGATCCCAGAATCAGGCTCCTTGTATAGGTTGCTTAAATGGGCACAGGATGGCGCTTGACATAGGTACCAAACTATGTCGTCATAGACGATAGAGTCCTTAAGCGAGCTCTTTGTCAGGGGGACCCATCCGCCTGCGTACCGGTATCTGCCGGACAGTATGCTTCGCGTGAGGGGCTCGAAGACGCTGAGGGATCATGCGCACCAGGGTATTATTGTCCAGAAGGCTCAACATCAGCTACAATGCATCCTTGCCCTGCTGGGACATACGGGCAAGTTTACTATAATGACGTGCCTCCACTAGCTTCAGCCGTCCACTAACTTCAGCACCGCTTAATTTCGACAAATACGGCAACGAGCTTGGCCTGCCTCAACTGACCGCATTGCTTTCTCCGCCCCCAAAGTGTTTTTGAGGCGTTCTCTTACTCACGTCCGCATACCTTTATTGTTTCGCAGGTATCAATCAGGAGCTAGGAGTCAAGAGGAGTGTGATAAATGCCCCCAGGGTATGTACTGCGTCTCCTGTACAGTGGAGCCTTGGAGCAAGGTTGAAGCGACTCCTTAACGCTGCTGTTTAAACGGGACTAGGGGATGCAGCCGAATTTCTGTTTCAGGCTACTTCTGCAAGGCAAACGCAACACCAACGAAATGCCCGGCAGGTCACTACTGCGAACTTGGTTCAATTGAACCGAAGAAATGTCCAACGGGAACATTTAGTACGACACAGGGGAATGCTACTGAGTATGACTGCACTGATTGCCCTCCTGGGAAGTATTGCTCAACTGAAGGTGAGCCTTCCCGTTTTCCAGTGTAGCCCCACACTGCAGTGATGCATGCGAATGGGTCCACACAAACTCAGCTTTCTTGGAGAACGTCAAACGGGCCAGCCAATCCAAAAAGTACATTGGCGTGGGTGTTGCTCTGCAGGTTCACCAGCACCAACAGGTCTCTGCAACGCAGGGTGGGCAACTAGAGTAATGATAGCGCTCCCAAACTCCTTTGGGCTATTCATCACCTATTCAAAAGCACGGCACTAGGCTGATACTTAAAACTGACGAATACGTAAAGTCCAGCTACTTTTGTCGTCCAGCACTCTTGTCCCTGTATTGGGTTTTGCTCAACACCAGTATTATCTACTCAAGAAAGTTTTCCCCTTGTTGCGGAACTGTTGAAACCGCTCAACAATATTTGCTAGCATGAGTTTCCATGGGCAAATTTAGGTACTTGTGCTACAAGAGGGCTGAGTCAGCTGAGCCAACCGACGGGAAAACGGGAGAACGCTGCACTCCAGGAGGGTACTGCAAAGCGGTCAGTTCTCTTCATCCACCGTGGATGCGTTTAATACTTGTCCCATGCATGATCTAAGCGCGTCATGTAGACTCCGCTCCTCTTTTTCCATGCTTGTCTGGGTAGGGGGCTACCACGAAGTCCTATTGTCCCCGAGGAAAATACAATCCGGCGGAGGGAGGGTCGTCCGAAAGTGATTGCAAAGAGTGTCCACCCGGCTACTATTGCACCGGTAGCGATTCTACGGAGCCTGATGGACCATGCGAAGCAGGGGCATACTGCACGGGAGGGGCTCAAACTTCTAGGTTAGCAAAACTTCTGTCACGATGGCCCACATTCTCTCGCCACATTATCACGGGGAGGGTACAAGTGGCAACATCGCATAAAACTTGAACAGCTTGGCACCCCAACAGCCAGTTTCGCAGCAGGGACTCGTTTTACAGGCGCCCGTAGCTGGTAGTTATCTACGATGTTCACACTTTAAGTGTCAGGTTTGCCAGCCCGTCCATATACGAACTCCTCGCACCCTGTGTTGTTTCTGCATCAACAGGCAGAACGTAGCAAGGCAAGGGCATTACGCTGCAGCAGGATCTTCGGCAGAAACTGAGTGCCCAGCCGGGACTTTTGGCCCACACGATGGCTTGGCTGAATGTTACCTTTGTGCCAGAGGGTAGGTTGCACCAGGCTCTCATGTCAGCTTAAGAAAATCGTTCATGATTTGCGTCAAACGAACTTTGCTCCTTAGTGATCAGGCCACTACAACGCCACTACATTTCCGTAGCTCCAAATGATGATGTTTCCTATCTGGATGAGCTGCTGTCTCTATCGCATGCTCTTCTCCGCAGGTGGGTAACATATTCGGCGGGTCAATCAAACTGTGAAGGTTGTCCTGTTGGGAAGTATTGCCCCAATGAAGGGACCTCTTCGCCAATTGTCTGCCCAGTCGGAACATACAGGGATCTTAAATATGGTTCCTCAGTCACCAGTTGCAAACAGTGTCCTCCTCATAAAGCCTGCTCAACGGAGGGTAGCGACGGACAGAACTTGCAGGCGTGCGAAGCGGGATATTATTGTATCTTCGGTTCCACTTCTACCAGGCCATCCAAGGACGATCAGCTCTACGATGTAAGGAAGGCCGGGCCCTGCCTCCCCGGCATGTACTGCCCTCAGGGGAAAGTTCCGTTGCCGTGCCCGAGAGGAACGGTAGGAGTTGCTGAAATGCAGAGGGACGTCACGGATTGCCAAACGTGCCCTGAAGGTATATATTACGAGCTTCGAATGGAAGACACTCTTGAACTATATTGGCGTCGTTATCTTCTCTGCTTTATACTTTGTTGTGTTCTTCAATCTATCCCATTTTTAGTTCATCCAATCGCACTGGCTGTCCCTAGACCCAAAAACGAAAGGCGATATAGTAGGTTTGGCTGCGCCGGTCTCGCAGGGAAAGTATGCGAGGATTTAGCGGGTTTAGAAGCTATGCCTTGTCCCAAGGGATTTTTCTGCCGGGCAGGGACAACGACAGCGGAGCGCAAGGCAAATTTATGCCCTCAGGGCAAATTCTGTCCATTGGGTAGTGCCTCTGGAACAGACTGCCCAGAAGGAACATTTGCGCCTTTTGCGGGGACAACGGAATGCCTTAAGTGCCCGGCAGGATGCTTCTGTGAAAATCCGGTTCTCGAATTTGACAAGCAACCGTGTCCAAAAGGTTATTTTTGCCCAACAGGTAGGAATTCTGCAAAGCGGTTTTGCTGCAAACTCAGCAGCATGCGCCTTTAGGAGTACAATGACCTGAGATATGTGTGTTTCGTCCATTTGATTAGCGACACGTGAGAAGAAGCCCTGCCCTTCCGGCAGTATGGGTCTAACAGAAAGTCTTTCCAACGAGTCCCTATGTCTCAAGTGTCTCCCTGGCCACTACTGCCAGACTGAAGCGATGTAAGTCAAGCTTCGCTTACATGTACTCTGCTTGCTTCAAAACTTAAAACGATGAGATGAGCATGGCAGGCTTTCCGTAGGTGGGTGTATATTCAGAACCGAAATAAATGGCATACCGTCCTGCCCTGCAGGCAAATATTCAAATCCTGGATCAAAGGCAGATACTGACTGCCAAGAGTGCCCTGTTGGATACTACTGTCCGGAGTCATCAAGCACTCCAATTCCTTGCAAAGGAGGAACTCTTTGCACCGAAAGCGGACAGAAACAGCACACTAAGAATTGTCCAGAAGGCATGTACTGCGAGGCAGGAACGACAGGATACATTCAGGCAGATGGACACCAATGTCCTGCAGGTTCTTATTGTCCAGCAGGCTCTTCTGCCCCAATATCCTGTCCCATGGGAACCTTCCTTGACACTGCGGGGGCCACAACACCGCAATCGTGCACACAATGCCCAGCAGGAAGGTAGGTTTATATCGTCTGGGTATTCGGTGCCATTACTTCGATGTTAGCACGTCTGCGATTGAATCATTGAAATTAATACCCTAAACGTATAAGTGTAGTGAAATATTTAGCCCGTGCAGTTGGTCCTAATAACAAAACCCTGCTTACATCTGTGATTTGGCTCTCTTGTGCACTTCTTTGCTAATACTGTGGGGTGCGCTTGTCTGCTGTCGCCTGGAATTAGCTACTGCGGGGCCCCCCGTCTTGTTGCCCAAGAAGGCATGTGCAGCGCCGGCTACTACTGCCCAGAAGGTAGCTTCGTCTCCCGACCAGCTGCGAGCAGATGCCCAGCTGGGTCAATGTGCCCACAAGGTTCATCTGAAGCGAAGAAGTGCGATACTGCTATGAACTTTTACCAGCCACGGGCGGGGCAGGAGTTGTGTGAGAGCTGCCCTGCAGGCTTCGCCTGCACAGCCACAACCGCCAACCTTTGCCCGCCAGTGGGTTGCTTACGCCCTACCAGATACGAACCATGATCTAGCTAGTGCACAATATGCAGTTGGGGAACGCAGTTGCCCTCAACGTGGGGTAAAACGGCACTGGTGGTAGTGGTATTTCATGACCGCCTCCCACCTATGCTACACCGCACAAGTCGTTCCACAAAGACGGATTAGAAGACAAGGTCAACAAGGTCTTCTCTTCCCGCCAAGCCCGTTCACTTGGCCGTGGTTTCGGTAGATAGTAGACACAGTGGGCTTACCGTTAAACCATTCATGCACGTCACTAATTAGGTGACGTGGCACACGTATAACACGCTGTACTGTGCTTTTGACGCTGCACAGGGACAGTATTGCACTCCAGGAATGGAAGCTAAGAAGTGCAGTGCAGGAACTTTCAATCCTCTCACGGGATCCCAGAGCGTGGCATCTTGTCTCGCTTGTCTTCCTGGGCGGGCTTGCACCATCGACGGCTTGGGTAGCCCAGATAAAGAATGCGCAGCTGGTCACTACTGCGTATCTGGAGCTTCAACCGAGATGCCGGCGGATGAGTGGACTGACGGGGGCGGATTTTGTAAAAAGGGTTTCTTTTGTCCAAAAGGATCAATAGCTCCTAGGGCATGCACGAGCGGCAAGTACTGCTCTCAAGAAAAAGCAAGCGCTCCGACGGGCCCCTGCAATGCAGGGCATTACTGTGCACACGGGGCAACAGAACAGGAGTCGACTTTAACGTTCTATCCCAATGAATGCCCCTCAAACGTGATACAGGGTATTTGCCCTCCGGGATCCGTTTGCCCAGAAGGATCAGCTTTCCCGTACAAATGTCCAGCAGGTGAGCGGCCTCCCGCTGGCAGCTGCCGGATACCGGGATCTGTTGACTTTTTGCTTCTATGAAGGTTTCTACGGACACCATAACAGCACCCAAGTGCAAGCGTACTGCCGTGCCTGTCACGTGATATGCATTTGCTATTTAGGCACGATACGAAAGGATTCAAATGGCGCCGCTTTTGTGGACTGCCAGCCTTGCCCCGAAGGAGGATACTGTACTCTTCTCGGGGCAACACAAGTGACACACGATACATGCCTTGATGGTCGTCACTGCAAAGCGGGCTCACGAGTAGGCTGTTTAAGTGCAAATCAACAGGCAATCTTCTCAGTTGCGCTCTTGTTGAAAACCATCCAAAGGTTGTTAATTTCGTAGTTCAGCTACCGCTCGTAGAGTTCTGCGTCTCTACAAGATTCAGAACTCCACTGTAGCTCCGAATTGTTGTTCTCCCCGTGCTTGTGTTGCAGACAAAGTTTGGGGTTCCATGCCCAAGTGGCCACTATTGCAACAGCAAAAGCAAATCACCGCAGAAATGTCCCGCAGGGTAATTAAGGTCACCCCTCCTCTGCACCAGCTGTATACGTAGGAAGTGATCCACTTCAGATAAAGCAACAGCTGGGCTGTAGGGAATGCACAGCAGTTGTACTAGAGTCATATGCTCTATGCCAAGGGCGCTGAGAGCCGAATGCATGTAGATGCATCTGAACACACATTCCTCAGCTAGTGACTCTACTGTTCAAATCATTCGCAGGAGCTATCAGCCCTCAGTGGGAGCGTTGGCGTGCGAGCCGTGCCCTCCAGGTATGTAACGTAGGTATACGCATTGCACAGATTCCCTATCATGGCGTTCACGCTAAGAAATCACCACAGCTGCTACTTATTTTTCCATATCAACAGGTTCTACCTGCATAAATGAAGCCACATCCGAACCTCAAACATGCCCGGAGGGCAACTTCTGCTCTGAAGGAACACAGACACCCTGTCCAGCTGGATACTATCGTGATAAGGCCGGCGCCTCAGATGTCACTGCATGCAAGCCATGGTAATATATCCTTACACAAACGGGAGAATCTCGCCATTTGCGAATGGAGTGTACCCTGGTGAAATTACCTCTCAATGGCGGCAGCTTGCAACTGTGTTATGCATGTACAGTCCCCCGGGAAAAGCGTGCCCAGACGTGGGTGCCACGTTGGAGACTGCTGCTAAGGACTGTGGAGCTGGCTACTACTGTAGGCTGGGGGCGCCCTCGCTGACGCCAACAGAATCCTCATGTGCAGATGATGAACGAACAGCTTGTCTTCCAGGTGCAAAGTGCCCCCAGGGGTATTACTGCCCTGCTGGGTCAAGCACACCAGTCGGTTGTCCCCTGGGCACGACGGGGAGCAGCGAGGGTGCCACCAATGACAGTGCCTGTGCACCATGCCCTGCTAACTCCTTTTGTCCTCCTGGTGGTGGGCAGTGGCCCTGTGACCCTGGGTTCGTTTGCATTGGAGGAGCCTCTGTCCCAAAACCTACAGACAAAACGAGTGGGAATATGTGTCCAAAGGGCAGCTTCTGCAGCGGCACCTCACCGGCATCTCCTTGCCCAAAAGGATCCTACGCCGATGTTGAGGCAAGTTCGTCTTAGCTTGCGAATCTTCAGTAGGCATAGTCACAGTTCCCACCCCACATCAACTGTTTCATTATCAAGCTCCTTAGCAGCAGTGCATGGGGCCCGAGACGATGCTGCTCTTTTACAGGGGCTCACAGAGTGCAAGAAATGTCCAGCGGGCTACGTCTGCAGCACAACAGGTGATCATTGCTTTCGAATCCCGGTTTTGCGGGTCATACCGCATTCCAATGCTGATACTGGCTGGCAGTCACATATCCTCACAGTTTTTCTGCACAGAGTTTCTGCCATTTGCAGGGGATGACAGTGGAGTGAGAGTACCATGTCCCCAAGGAAACTTCTGTCCCGAAGGTTCAACCGAAGCTACAAAGTGCCCTGAGGGCACTTTTAACTCTGTTGAAGGAATTTACGAAGAATCTCATTGTTCCCTATGTCCCCCAGGTCAGCAAAATCTGTATGGCAGCCGCACTAGGACAGATGTATTCTTGCCGCTGCACCCCGAAGCACACGCTACCAATGTGTAAGGGACCAGCCTAGTTAGTGGACCAACAATTTGTCTTTATCCCTTAGTATTAATTATTCACTTCGCTTCAGGCAAGTTTTGTGATAGCAAGGGCCTAACAGCGCACTCAGGTGAGTGTACGGCTGGATTCTATTGCCAAGCCGGCTCAACACAATCACAGGATACTGCACAGAACTGGCCACAAAGCAGTGGCAAGTGCCCTCCGGGACACTATTGCCCTCAGGGAAAGGTACGCCGTAGACCCATTTAATCCCCATACATTCAACAGCTTACTTAAACACAACCAAGATGCCAACTGTGGTGTCTGCTGACTTAACTCGCACTACTGTTCGAGTTCTCTCACAACCAACATTTCTTAGGTTTGCTGTCTTCGTAGGGAGCTCCCGACAGATGCCCGCCAGGCACATACAATCCGGATTGGGGCGCTGAAGACGTAGGCCGTTGCCTGCCTTGCACAGAAGGACATTATTGTGCTAGATGGGGTCTCAGTGCCCCCGAAGGGCTTTGCAACCCAGGCAAGACGAAGTTTAACTTAAGCTATGGATTGTTGCTCGAGTGCCACTCGCAACTCCTATATGGATAGAACTTCTCAGAGCGTTTAAGGTGCAGGCAAACTTTCGCAAGCGGCTTAATATGTGGACTACCCAAAACGTCTATTGAATTATCTGTTCGCTTCCCCGGAAACACAGCTTAGGTGATGGCGTCGTCTGCATGCGGCGTGTGGCCGGAGTGCAGGCTTCTACTGCAACGAAGGTTCCTCGACTCCGATGCCAATTCAGGAGGCGGCGGGTGACCTCTGCCCAGAAGGTCATTACTGCCCCAAAGGTAGCTCATATGACGAATGGCCAGCAGCAGATGTAGTCATGCACCTGCCCTAGGTGCTGTTTAGCACTCCATTTGTCTTGTGCCTCGGTGGCATACTAACAAAGCTAAAACCCCTAAGCGCTAAACATAGGTGCAGTGGTCAAGAAAGGATTGGCGCGGCGCCGTGCACGTTTCGTGCTGCTCGTTTTCTAGGGTCGTCAAAGCCCACGAAGTGTCCTCTAAGCACATTTAGCATACACCAAGGTGCGTCTATCCCCCTCTACCTAGGCACTCAACCCTTCTGCTCACCCGCATTGACAGCAGCATATAGTCTATTCAATCAAATCTTTTCAATGGCCCGTTTTAGGCTCCACCGAATGTTCACCATGCCCTGCTGGATACACCTGTGAAGTTGGAGCCACGCAACCCAAACGTTGTCCAGCCAAACACTACTGTGAGCTCGGGCATGAGCCCCAACCTTGTCCAGGGGGAACCAAATCAACTGCCACAGGCCTTTCCGAGGAGGGTCAGGTACGCATGCACTGCATGCCCAAGGGAAGGGCTGACAGTCCGTTGGCCTCTCCTGGCTGCAAGCGCTAGTTTGTGGTCAAATTGGGAGTGTGCGTCACCGAACGAGCAGCAATGGTATTGGTGTCACCAGCATGAGCAAATACATTGTATGTCTGTACTCTCGCAGTGCATAGATTGTGGCTCGGGGCAAGCTTGTGATGGGGCGCGTGCTTTGGGCCCGTGTGCGGAGGGATATTTGTGCCTCGCGGGCGTTGGGCCTGGAAAATCTCCTGATCTGTGGCAAAATATGTATTCACCAGCAGCTGTGCAAGTTGGTGGCCCATGCCCCATAGGGCACTTTTGCCCAGAGGGAGCAACTGTCCCGACTGCTTGCCAAAGGGGCACTTCCACCGTAAAGGAAGGAGGCAAAACCGCACAAGATTGTTTGCCTTGCAAGGCTGGGTGGTACTGCAGCTTGAATTCATCAGTACGTCTATTGCCTAATGACGACAAAATAGCTTGGCTTGCTATTTGGTGACTATCCCACTCTTCCCAAGCGCACAAAAATGCTACCATATGCTATTTTCACTAAATGTCGCAGGAAATGCTTGAGTGTCCAGCGGGGCATTATTGTCCTGATGGAAGCATTGAGCCAATACAGTGCCCATCAGGCACGTTCAGCTTGATTCCTCAGGCTACATCTGCTGACAGGTGTGAGACATGCCCAGCCGGCTACGTCTGCAGCTCGGGAACGGTAGACTTTGCTCAGTGGCCTTGCCCCATTGGTTACTACTGCCCAGAGGGTTCAGGCACGGCATTGCCGTGTGCGGCAGGCACTTATGGTGCTGCAAGCAGAGCTGAATCTCGAGACAGCTGTCAAGATTGCCCTCAAGGCAAGTGTTTCATCTGCACAGCAGCGGATGACCGGAGGGTCTGATTTGTGTCGCGTGTGCTTTATGCTTGAACCAGTGGTAGTTCCTCCATGGCTCGCTGACGAGAGCTTACCTACTATGGGCCGAACCAAAATGCTGAAGCCCACAGCTTCCTCAGAAATGAGTGAGCATTTACGTGCAGGATACTTCTGTGAAGGGGCCGCCTCTCAACCTTCACCATGCCCTGCCGGACGAGTCTGTGAAGAGGGTTCACCAGAACAACTACTATGCCCTGCTGGAAGCTATTGTCCGGCTGCCTCAAAAGTTCCTCTGTCTTGTCCCAAGGGGTATTACTGTCCTGAGGGATCTCCTTATCCCAAGCCATGTCCCGAAGAGGGTATTTGTCCTGAAGGTGTTGAGGAGCCTTTGCTGTGTCCGGCAGGAGCCTACAGAGCTACTTCCGAATCCTGTGTAGAGTCTCCTTCAACCGGCTCATGCTGTAAGGCTTGCCCTGCGGTGAGCTACTGATGGTGGAGGAGTTGTCTATGTTGACTTTCGCATGTATCCCTTAGCTTGTCGGTTAATCTTAGCTATGGAGGGCCAGACTGGTAGCCCAGGCAGTTCTAGACAATTCTCTCTTTGGTTGATGGCTCCAGGGAACCCATGCGCCCACTCCTGGGGCTTCTGCGTGCGACCCGTGTCCTGCTGGATATCTCTGCTATGGAGGAACTGCCACAAGTGCACCCCAACTTCCAGATATCGATTTGGGGGAACCTTGTCCCGCTGGTCACTACTGCCCAGCGGGCAGTTCTGCTCCACGGCCTTGTCCTCCCGGGACGTACAACGATGAGGAGGCTGGAGCCAACTTACTTGAAGCCTGCAAGCCATGTGAACCTGATACGTTTTCAAACGTTTCTGGTCAAACTGGGTGTTTTGCATGTGGCTCAACATCTACAGCTGAGGCAGGGCAGAACACTTGTTCTTGTATAGGCGCCCATCGGTGGTTTCAGCCTAGCCAAGGGTCCTGCATTTGCGAAGGCGGATATGAAAGCTACGACACTTCAGGAGCCTCTCTATCCAACCTGGATTCTCCTCTAGACTGTCAGCCCATAGTGAGGGAAAACTGCCAAGGATCTCAGCTGGCGCGTCTCGTTTTTCCATCTACGAAATTGCGTGACAAGGACGGTTCCTGTATTGACCCGTCGGCTTGCGAGACCGAGTGCTCTGGCGGAAAAGGAGGCTTTCTATCCTTGTCAGGACAGTGTATGTGCCTGCCGATCAGAGCTTCCAGCACAATTTGCGATCACCAATGCAGGTGGGATGCAGAGCCTCCATTTCTCTGATAAAATGTCTTTGCGATGAACATAGCTACCTAGAAGCAAGTTTCATCTATAGATCTTCTTCTTGTTTCACCGTCAGGCAGGAAGCTGTCCGCGCACACTATCGGGATGGGACTTTGGAATTCAGTACTGAGGCAGATGGCTCCGTTGGACACCTGTCGTTTGCTGATTTCTCGGCTAATGGAAGAGTTCTGGGGAAAGTCAACTGCACTGCAGGAGTCAACACCGACTGTGCCGTTTATTTTTACAACGCCACAAAGGAAGGAATTTTGGGGCTCTTCGGTGTTCCCCAAAGTACGCTAACAGGCTTTGGTTGATACCCTTGCTCGGACTCGGGCGATGCATTCTGAGTTGTTTTTAGGGCAGTGTACAACCTACATGACGGCTCGTTTTGCCCTAGAGACGTGGAGGCACCATGGCTGCAATGTTTTGCACACTATTCTTGTAGGCTTGCAAGAGGAGACTAAAGGCCGTGCGGTTGCAGAGGCCAGAAACGTTCGGGGGAAAGGTTTTAGGCGCCTTTCTGAGGGAACGCCTAATCAGGCAGTCAAATTTCCTGTACAGTGCCTACAACTCCATGACACTGTTGCTTGGTGGGTGGGCGATCAAGTGTATCCCGTACTCCTGAAGGATTCGCTTCTCAACACGAATACCGCCATTGACATTTCCACGTTCCTACAGCTGGCCTCCGCTGTTGGATCGAAGAATGATGCTAAGAACCTTAAAGCTAGGAAGGGAGTCACATCCAACTTGGAAGTAAGCCTTTTTACTTTTTACAGTTTTTCTCTGACACTCTCCCTGCTTACCTGGCTCAGAAGACGTGTCGATCCATGCCAATCAGGCCAAATGACTCATTGTGATGTGTGTGCGGCAAGTGCAGATGTTGTCTTAGTTTCGGGGGCACTGCATTAGGCATGCAGTCATCACTTCTCCTGTAGAGTACACTTATTAAGCTTCTGAAACTTCGGTTCGCCTGCCGATTTTGTCAATGTTTTGCAGTACTTCGTCTATACATTCAGCGTCGAAGGAGTCTTTGCATTCGGAACGAATGAAGACAACAGTCCCCAGGCGATTTTCTCTGTCGTCGGAGACGGAGTACAGTGCCCACCTGGAACCAGGTCCGTAAAAAGATTGAGCAGAATACAGAGTGACCAGTATGAATTGCCATAAGGCCTAGACTTTCTAGCGACACAATGGATACAGTTGATCTGCAGTCGGGTGGCTGCCACGCGTCTCTGTTTTACCGCGGTTACGTTTGTCAACACAGTCAGCTTGGCATACTGTCTGAGCATATGAACTTCTCCAGATATCCTGAGGCAACAAGTGATTCGTCTCTTGCACATCTTGGAGTGCGGCTCCAGCAAAATCTGAATGTGGAACCGGACTTGACAATATTTTTACTGACGTTTGCTTGTTTACTCGTTGTTTTAGTTGTACTGTTGATGTGTATATCGGATGCCCGAAAACGGCAGTATAAGAAGCGCCAGGCATTAGATCATAAGGATATCAGCGAACGCAAAGATCTTATTCTGGGAAGCCGACAAGCGGCTTTGACAATGAAAAGGAGGCTAGAATCACTGCTGGCGGACCTGATCGAACAGAGACTCTGCAAGCAGGAAAACAGCCAAGTACTTGCACTGCAGCCTGAGCAACTCGAAAGCATGCTATGTGGCATACCCCAAGGCACTCCTCAGCCACAAGCATTTGAAAATGCGTTTGGAGCGCTTCATGAGCTCTCAATTAAGTTCAAGTCCTTTTCTTCCATGTCCAGCCACCAATTTCATAGGGCAACGAAAGATATCGCACTGGAAATTGGCGAGCTTCAAAAGGATATCCTTACGACTCTGATGCCGATTAAACAACGGTTGCAGGTACTTACTCACTCTGGTCATACAGTGAACCCTCCCGGAGCGGACATCTGCAGTCTGTGTATTTTGGGGTGTTCGTGTGGCTTGTGGGGTGGCGACTGGATTGCTTGACATTTCTTGTGCGCACATTGGTATGTGCTTCTCTCCGCGCTGCTCCCAGCACTGTCTTGCTATAAAACTTGTGGATAGAAAATGTCACAATTCACATTATGTCCCTTTGTATGGAACGGTGTTGTTTACGCAGCACCGTGATCGGTTGAGAGGGCAGATGGGTCCAATTATGGAGAATATTAATCGTCTGCTAGGAGAATTAAGATCAGCGGATCTATTTATGACCGTTGCGATGTCTTCAACCGACGCTGAAGACGTTGACGAAGGCGAGCATGTGCTGATTGTGAAGAGGCTGCTTATTCCTGCCAACGTTGGGGACCCTGCAACACTGCATCTTCGGCTGCTTCGCGCAACAATTTGTGGGGAGCGTTTCACTACCCAGAAAGCTGATCGCTTCCAAGTGTTAACCGCTACTGCAAGGATGTTAACTGCGTCGCTTTCGAGCAATAAGTCTCAGCTACAAGAAGGTGAAAGATGCGTGGAAGCGCTTTCACAAGAGAAGGATCAGTTGTTGCAGGAGGCTCAAAGCCTACTAACCGACGGATGCAAGCTGCTAGCGTCGGGAACAGATGCTACAGAAAGCATGAAAGAGAGATTTGTGGAGTACAGAAGGAGGGACGATGGTATTTTGGACGTGTGCCGCAAACAGCACGCAGCAGCAATTGACGCAGAGGTTTCTTCAGCAACACAAAGCCTTATAGACCAGGAAGATGCACTTCTACAGCTACACCTGAGTCGGCTCTTGAGTTTGGCTTCTGCTGCTCAAGGGGTACCTACAGAAAGTCGTAATCAAAAAGCCTCCAAATCCCTTCAATTCTACACCAACGAGTGCAGAGCACACTTTAAGCAGGCTCTCAAAACGACAACAGAGGACCTACAGAAACGCCTTGGTAAGCGTAACAGGCTACGTAGCAATTGCAAAGGTGCTGGTATGATGCCAGAGTTCTAGGAAGATGAACATGAATGGCCTCCTGGCCTGCAACCGTGTCATGGATATTCACTTGTACAGTGGAGGTGCACACAGGAGAGGCTCTCGCACGTGACCACGCCTCCGCAGAGGCCCAACAGCAGCAACGCGAATCCCTACTTGGAGTTCTTCTTGATCAGAAGGCTCGGGGAGACGAGGAATATTTGGCAGGTGTCCACCGTCTCGAGCGGCAACTCCTACTTCTCTGCACCCAGCTTGCAATACAGAACAAAAAGGCAGTTGAAGAGGATGCCTTTCAGGTGTGGTTTACGTGTCCATAGGGATTAACAATAAGCCGACATATCCCTCCCTTGTCGTTTTAACCCAGCAAGAATGCCCTTACGTGTCATGCCCTTTACCTGAGACTCCAGATGGTGTCTTCTAAGCCAGCTGAGACCAGCTGATCGGTTCTGATATGCAGGCTGCCGTGCGTGACTGGACTGGTGCCCTACAGTCCACCATGAGAACAGAAGCACAAAATCTTCGGCGCCAAGCCAAGGCAGGGTGTTTAGAAGAGTCAGAATATAGGAGGCAAAAAGCATCGCTGGCTTCTTCACTTGAGCTGAACATCCAGAGAATCACTAGAGAGCAATTCGCTAACAAGGTTGAACGCATTGAGCAGTTCGAGCGCGAGGCTACGAGGGCTTACGAGAGTCTGTAGGCCATCTTACGGCGTCTTAAAAATTTGCCTAGTGGAACTACAGCCAAGAGGCACGCATTCTGTGGCGACGCACCTGTTCCCCTTTCTGCATGCTGAGCCGCATTTCGTCTGTGGAGCTTTTAGTGCTCTGTCTTGTGTTTGCAGGATGGAGGCAACCCGCAAGCGCCAACGACTTGAAGAGGAGTTGAGGAGTGCTGAATCAGACGCCTTTGGGAGTTTGATGCGCCGGCGGCTCAAGCACGTATGGAAAAGTGCTGCAGAGGAGAGGAAACTCCTACGAAATTCCATCATTACATCGTGGTCGCGGGCTACTGCGAACCAGGAGAGGTCTGTTGCCTACTCACTGCAAACCAAAGTGTTGTTTTGATGAGGCAGATTTCACTAGGTAGAAGCTAGGCAAGCAAATCCGTGAAATTCATGCTGCATGAGCGGTAGCTCTAGAGCATAGGTCCACAAGTAGAGTCAAAAGCTATGCGAGCAAGTACGTTTTTTGGGGCACCTGTGCCTGCCGCCAGTACTGTCGCTGTAAAAACATCTCTAGTCCTACATAGTGAACGGTCAGCTCAGAACTGCAACAGAGATGGTAATTTGATTGGCTACATAAAACGAATAGCAACATTTGTTGACAAAGCTAGGATGAACCGTGGAGCATAGGGCATCTTCAATCAGTGTCTGTGTTGCAGGTTACCTGGGCAGTGAGGCGATCTGTTTTTGCATGTGAGCAGGCTTTTTGAATTTGAAGTCAACCTCCAGGAAACCCTTGCGGCTGCACAGCTAGACAACGAAAATGGGGAGGAAAACGCTTTGCGCCTCCAACGTGAACTGAAAGACAGGAAACAACAAACTGAATCTTCAGTGGAAATGATGATAGACAAGTGCCGAGAACTTCAAGGCCAGCTGCTACAGGAGAATTTGGCGCGAATGAATGAGCTGCGGCACGAACAGGATGATGAAATTAAAGCAGCGATCGACGAAGCTAAGGCTTCGCTGTCGGAGCCCCGGGAACTCTGGCTTCGTGCTCTAGTGTGCGAAGCTGATGTTGATGCAGAAACCCAGGGCAACCTTCAGGCCGTTGTGGAGCAACATGCACTAAATGTGGCAGTGAGCTGCTTAGAGGCCGCAGGGCAAAGATATTATCATGAAGCTGCTGCGGAAGAAAAAGAAACTGCAGAATTAGAATCGCTTGCCTTGGTTGAGGAGCAATTTCAGGCGGAACAGCTCCAGCAAAGAGTTCAGGAACGAACAGGCCTTTTGAAGGCTGTATATGACGAAGAATTCCACCGGGGCTCTGATGCGCTTTTGGCCACATTCCAACAGCACCGAGAGGCTTGCAAGCGGTCCCGAGATAACATAATGGAGGCTCAGCGCCAGCTAATACAAAACCGCCTGACAACTGTAAGGACCTGGTACTGCATATGGTTGCAGCTGTGTTATGCGGTTCAATATTTCGGTCGAGTATCGGGCCACAGGTATCATAGTAGTAGTACATGTAACAACGCTAGATGTTTGCGTGCTGGTTTTTGCAGGACTATTGGTTGCGGGAGACTCAAGACTTGCTTTGGCGTGGAACAACAAGCGCCTCTGCCGATGAAGGGGCGCAGCATAGAGGGGAGTTCGCATTCTCTTGTTTTTGCAGTGATTGGTATGTAACGGCAAAATACGCTACCGAAGGTGGCTGCAGTGCCACCTTGTTAGGCTTCTTCAATTGGCAGTGTTCGTTAACGATCAGCTCGATAACAGTCTTCTGTGGCGGTGTTGGTTGCTGAACTCTCAGGGAGGAGGATCTCCTCACTTGGCAGTCTGGACAAATTAACGAACGGCTTGACGCCAATGGAATACAGGACAACCGGCTCAAGCAACCTCGTGGACCTGATTGGGCTGCTTCCTGTGCCTCATCGGTCCCAAAGACAGATGACGGCTTACAGGTGATTCCTCCGTCCTCTGCTGCCGGTAGTACTCATGGCTTCCCAGCAACTCTTGCTGCTCTATGCTCCAAAGATCCTTTCAGCTCACTAGTTGTCTATCATTGTCACACTTCTCCATACACTAGTAGCGCACGTTGCTGAGCTCGTCAAAAAGGAAAGGTTGCAAGGGTTACGTGGGAGGCTGTTGCACACTGCCAAGTAGGCACGTTCCTCCAGCTAGACTCACGAGATACACACTTCTGCGTACTCGACAACAGTAAGCTTCCATCCATGAAGACTGGGTCGGCGCTCACGTTTGACCATTGAAAAATCTCGCCTCTATGGGTTTGTTCCTCCTAGATCTGCGAATGATGCAGGGCAGCGATATTAGCCAAAACTCTCCGTCTGGGCAGGCATCCGGGGAGACCCCGCAAGTAACGTTGAATAGAGAATTTTGGGCAAGGAGCAAGGGTTTTCTCGATAGCATATCTAGCGCACAGAAGGAAATAAGCCTTGCCGAATCTGAATGGCTGCAAAAATGTAGGGGAATTCAAGGCGGGAGGACAGCTTCAGCTGCAGATGACACGAAAATTACAAGAGCACAAAACACACGCCTGGAGCAGATGAAGGAGACGTTTCGAAGGTGAGCATGCACACCTACCCGACGACTAAAACGCTTTTTCGCCATCTGCTGTATACTAGAGCAGGACTTTATCATATGAGTGAGATGGACTGCGGATTTCAGCAAGGCTGCCGAACTCCGTAAGGATTATGAAGAGGAAATACAGAACTTGCTGAAAGAAGATAAGGAGGCAGAGGCGCAAATCGAACGCTCTAGGCAGGCGGAGGCCGCAAATCTTGAAATGTCATTCAGAGTTAGGGAGGCTAGTCAAGATAGCCCTGAAGAACGAGAGGAGTTAAAACTCCAGCGAGAAAAAGCCCTGGCTGAAATGCTCAACGACATGCAGGTCCAGCGAGATACTCAAAAGGCAAATATCCAGCGGCGACTCGAAAAGGCGAGGAAAGCGCTTGAGGAGAAACAGGAGCAGCTTTGTCAGCAATTTGAAGCATGCAGGGAAGAGGCACGAAGGGAATTCTTGGAGTTGAGCAACAGCATGGTGGAAAAGGAACGAAATGATAAGAAGGCCCAGCTGTTGGCAGCAGCTCGAATGAACCCAAGCGCCGAGAACATTTACGCGTAAGGTGTTTTGTGGTGCTGCTCTTCCATGCGACAAAGTTGATGCAGTGCCGCATTCCTGCATCACTTTCCTGGTGTCGCGTAAGCTCGAAAGCTAGTTGAGCGTTAAAGTGAAGCGTTTGGTTTCATCTCCAACGCCTTGCTGTGCCATTGTGAAACCTTCAGACTTCACAACCAGCTGAAGGAGGAGTACCGAGAGGACTTTAAAGCTCTAGTACTTAAGCAGATGCAAGAAAAGGCGAAATATAGGCACAACGCTGCGGTGGAGCGCAGAGCTGAAGAGGCCAAGCACGTGGACACAACTGCTGAAAGGTAGGAATCAGGTCGTTCTACGGAGCTGCACGCTTCATTTCCCAATTACGCTGACGGCGTAGAGGTGAACCTAGATGATCACGTGCTGTGTTTCAGACTACCTCTCGTTTACTCTTTTTTTCTCCTGTTCAGCAACGTGTTGTCGCTTTGAACTACTGCATGCGACACCACCTGCCGCTGCACTTGTTTTACGTTGCAGCAATGTGGCGATCCCTGCGTGGGAAGGAGTACCTGAGCGTGCAAAGCTGAAAAGGGAGCCAACTGAGAAAACTGAGCTGCATCAGGCAAAGGTTCGGGAAATCCAAGAAGCGGCGCAAGAAGCCGCGCTACAGGACGAAGCCTTGGGCTTACAAGAGGAACATCTTGCGCGCGTCATTGAAACACTGAGGGAATTTGCTGGAGCTAAAGATTCACCCGCGAATACTTTGCTTGAGCAGGCTAGACAGGTGGGGAACCCACCATCCGATAACCTACCGCCGCACCGGAGCCACGTCGACGATGTCCCCCTTTCATTCACTCTACGGCACTCTTTGTTGAGTCCATGTCTAGCTGTGACTTAAACTTTCAGTACGCAGTGCATGACCATGTTGAGGGAGGTGCTCCAGTGGATGGCCTGACGTTACCTTTCTAGAGAACTCAGGGGGAGACAGTTGCCCTTTGCTTGTTGTCGTCAAGAAATGAAACACTGACACCCTTACGACTAAACAGTACGCGCTGTTCTGTTTTCGTCTTCCTTAGGAGAAGTCGCGACTGACGCAAGAGCGTGACGACCTCCGCCGATTTGTCTCAGCTAGGCTTCAAGAAGTGGAGAAGCTGGTTCTTGAGAGAAAACAGGCCGAAGAAAAGAGGAAACTGCAGGAGTCTCACGCAGTTGCTCAGCAACTAAAGATGGCAGCAAAAGCTCAGGAAGCAGCAGCAAGGAAACAGGCACAGGAAAAACAGTTACAGAGGCAGCAACAGAGGCACATAGAGGAGGCCCGCAAGTTGCAACAGTTTATCGAAGCGATGGGCTCTGAAGGCAAAACTCTAGATGACCTCAGGCAGGCGTCAGAGCGTCGCATGGAAAAACTGCGTCGCGCAGTGGAGAGAGAGCGACAGAGGCAAAGAGAAGTGCTTGCATCCAAGCGCAACGCCCGGGCAGCAAGGCAGGCAAAAATGTCTCGTCAGAGACCAGCAGTGAGACGCTAACTTAAAGTGGCGTCATGACAAAGATTGCGCATGCAAATGAGCTATCAAATCACTTGCATAGCATCTGCTACTCACGTTGAGTGTATGAATTGCTTAGTAATGCAATGTTCACATGAATCAACTCCCCCGTTCAGTAAAATTAGAGTCGTACACTATATTGTACTGGCATTTTGTAGAAGCAATCTGGTTAGTTATTCACTTTACCTTTTATACCATATAATATAGGGATCTCGTTCGTAAACATGCGAACTCACTTGAACTTTTTTTAAAACCATAGTGTGATAATAATAAAATTCCTTCATATCCACTCAACTCTCTCTCAGTATTTGTTGTTGCTCTGTGAGAAAATACCTCCTGTTTATACAGTTGCAGTGCTGGTCTATGCCTGCACTCGTCTAAGAAGGTATATTGCCGAGGCTGCACTTCGGTATGTTCGTAAATGTGGCTGGCGTGATCATCCTTTCTTTGTAGGTTGAAGCAGAAGGAGACCACGCTGAGATGAAAGATGCGCAGGGATTACTGCAATCTATCGCAACAAAGTGCACAGCTACAATTGGCGAATCTGCAGACTCTGACGCAGGGGAGAACGATTTCAGGAAATTTGTGTGGAAAATGGATGTCAAGGCTTTTGCAGAAGAAAGACTGCAGAAGTTAGGGGAAGCTTTAGTGCTATTTCTTGAGAGGGTTGAGTCCGCAACGAATTCTGGAAAACAGGAGGAAGGGGGCGTTGTCATTTCGGGAGAACTCAGGCAGACTGTTTTACAGGTGCTCTTCAGGAAACAGTGGTTGGATTGGAATTGCAACATTGAACTCTACACCTATGATAGCCTACGGCAGGACCTGCTACTAGCCAGCGCCTTCAGAATCGGCTAGGCAGCAAGTCATTGCTGTCTAAACTACGTTCACATGCTCATCGTGTGATTGTGTTTCTGCTTGTGTAGGTTACAAAGGTCCTACAGGCCATTAATGTGGCTCACTCTGCATCTGCAAATTGAATATTCGATTGCAAACTGACCCAATTGTTGAAGGAATTCCTATTTGGAATAAGGCGGGTACTGTAGTGACAATTGATGTAACGGGTTTTCATGCAGACAACTGGCACTGGTTTTCGCCAGTCTTGCGTGGTGCAGTAAGAATGATTTTTTTTTCTTTATAGTCAACCCCAATATTTCAAACCAAACTCGGGGAGTGTTCGATTTAGAAGTCGTCTGTCAAGGCTTTATACGACCAATTTAATATATTTACCTAGGAGCCCGCGTAGGCAAAGGTTATTGTTCACCGTATAAGGAAACTGGAATTACCCTACCATTCAGCCCAAGTACAAAATCCGCATGGACTTAGGTCTTTTCAGTGCAGATTCAGGATAGCTGGGAACATTGCGTGGATGAAAACCGCGTGGTACGTAGATGTAGATCCCGCTAGCCTGAGCCAACTTGGCAACAGCATCGTTGACAATTGGCAAACATGTTCTTCCCCTCGGTTTCGGTATTTTTGTTCCTTCCAGCACTCTGTAGACGCAACTACAGCGTACGAGCAATATGAGACATCCACAACAGTTTCATACTCCTTATTTAATGCCTAAAAGAAGATCGGCAATTTCTTCAGGAGGTGGACGGGCAGCAGTTGATGCACTTTGGTGAGCGGATTGTGGGTTGTGCTTTTTCGTGGAGCTTCGCTGGTCTTGCGTTTCGGCTCCATTCTCCGTGAGCAGCTTCTGCATGTCCGTTTTCTTAGATTTCGCCTCAGCGAGGTCTGCCCTAGCGTTAGGTTGGTGATTGGCAGCGGTTGTCGCCGCAAGGGGAGCTGGAAGTAATGGAGGAGTGCGTATAGTTCCATAAGGCCGCATTTGCTCCGAAGAAGCTTTCGATCTTTCGGGTACCCCATGGCTCATGGGAAGCGTTTCTTCCCCCATAGGCGAAAGCCAATGGGCTAAATCGTTCCCTTTGATGGGTTTTGCTGTTGATCGCCCGACGTATTCGCCGTTGTTGTTCTTTTCGCACGACGACGGAGTAGCCGATGCCAGCGGTGTTCCGGAGTAGCTTCGAACTTTATGCACGGTGTATTTCCAGCGACTTCTATTGCTGCCACTGTTTTTGCACTGGCTGTTGGCAGCATTTGTACTGCGTGCGGAGTCATTGATCTGAATATCACCCACTGGAGCAAAATTATTGGTCTCACAAGGCCTATCATTATTCCCTCTTCTTCGGGCCCTCTGTCTTGTAGCCTCATGTTTTCCCCTGTCCCGCTGCTCGATTTGCTGCTGCAGTCGTAGTTGGTGCCTCCTGAGTCTCTCCTCAGCTGCTGAGCGCCGTCCAGATTCCGCCTTATCCCTCGTGTTTACATACCTGCTAAAATCAGCGCTGTCTTTAGAATCCATCCGTAATATTGTAGTTTCCACGGCTCTCGCTGGAGGCGAAGATAGCTTTTCCACTTCCTTCTCCAGAGGGTCAGACTTGGCGATGCTGCTGTCCGCTACGTTCACCCCCTTGTGGCCAAGTCCTTGCATGGACCCCTCTGACCACGCATGCTGTCGATCACTGTGCTTTTTCTTCCGATGCGGGTGTTGAACACGCAGCAGCATTTCTTGTAGAACGGATATCTGGCGAGCAATATTGAGCCACTGCTGCTCCCCTAATGCTGGGGGCAGTTCGATGCCAACACTGTCGTTGAATTTTGCAGAAACGTTTGTTTGATATTGCATACCTTTGCCACTTTGCGTGTTCATACTACTGCAACGGAGCTGCGAATGAGCAATTAGACGCTGTGGTTGTGACTGAGGTAACATTTTGTGCCCGTGTAACCCTGCCGTCTCCTCCGGTATAGACGGGCTTGTATTGTCGTCCAACTCGTTCGCAGGCTCTCCAGAAGCAGTTCCTGAGTGTTGCTCTTTGTGGTTAACTCCAGCCCCCAGTAACGCCATCTGTCCCCGTACATGGCTTTCCAAACTCAACAGCTGCTGCAGTGAATCACTGGTATTGTTGTCGAGCTGCTTCTGAAGTAGAAGCTTCGCTCGTGTTTGGACAAGCTCTCTTGCAGCGAGAGCATCTGCTGCCCCTTCGTATAATATAGACGTTGAAGATTTTGAGTATTCCTTCGTTATGCTAGCCTCATCTTCTCCACTTCCTTCTTGTTGAGTTGAGCGGGACGTTCCTGAGGTGTCGTTTAGAGGTTTCAAGCCCACGGCTTTACTCTTGCTTTGGGGTTCTTCATGGTCCTTCTGTGGCAGAGACAGGCTAATAGACAATCGTATTCCACCAATGCCTGGGGCTGCGCAGCACAACGCACAGGTTGAACGAGATCAACTCTCTGATGTCGGCAGCACAAGAAGCAATAGCACCAACCTGCCATCTCAACAGAGGTTTAAGGTATTTCTAGAAGGCTTATACAGCTTATTTTATTACTTTTCATATCTTCTGAGCGTTGCAAAAAGCATCTCAGCTTTCGGCTGACTTGTAGAGGCGACAGCAAAGGCGGAGGATGATAGACTCCTCTCCATATGCTTGTGTAGTGCAGACAAACAGGCGCCAAGACGTTCGGCAGCTGGCCGGTGCGGTGAGATGGTTTTCCGCAGGCATAATCCTACAGCTTCATTCATGAGACTGTTATTTCTCTCTTTTCTCGCCTGTCTACTGTGCGACTGCTGTTGCAGCTGTTCATGCAAAAAACGGGCACGAACAGCTGCCTCGCGAGACCGAAGAGCCTTCCCCATGTTGCTTCTTTCTTCGCAATAGCATATTGCCTGCTGTAGGGACTCTAACCTTTCTTGGTGCTCTTCAATCACACCCCAGGCAGAGCTTGGTGGACCACCTTGATGAACGCTAGCATGATTAAAGCAACCATTCTGACAATTGCTGGCGATGCATGGGCCCGGATTTGTTGTGCTACATCTCCAATCAGAACTTGTCTCATTGAAATGCGCACTCTCTACAGGCCCAATTGGTGAATAGCCAGGGTGCGGTTCCTCCAGAGGAACATAGGACGTCGAACGGTGGCTGCTGGAGATGCTCTGAGGGGACAGCAAAGGCTGCCCGGCCAAACAGCTTGGGAGCCGGTTTGAAAGGGGAAAACTATGGAGCCCTTCGGTAGCTCCGAATTTCATGCTCATCTCGCTGGCAGTGCCCGAAGGGTGACCTTCCCGCGCATTGGTAGATTTGATGGCCGTATCACCCATAGCAAATGACGCGAGAGAATTCAGCTCATTTCCTCCTTCTAAATCGTTAAATGGAGGAGACGCCAAAGCAGCCTCCACTGTCGTAATTTTTTCATTCTCGTCAGAGGCCGACGTCATCATGTCGTGTCAATCTGTCCACCCATTCACAGTGTAGACTCATCTATGACTCTTTTTCTAGGTTTATTTTGGATTATGTCTGTTTGTACCTTATTCCAGAAAGGGTCACTTTGGGCACATTTCGACAAATTCAACCCGCCAAAAGGTGTCTGGAGGTTTACTAGTGTGGCTTCACATAAAACACAGCCGTGCCCCGATTTGGGGCTCTATGGCGAAATTTTTTACTAGTTTTAACAAGGTGTCTGGACAGTGATCAAGGAAAGGTTAACCTTTCCCTTCCCTTAGATTGCTGTCATGACACTTTTCGTGTGCTCGAACCACCCAGGAGCGAAGGCGTCGAGGTGCTGCGGAAGGCCAATGCCTCAAAAAACTGAAACCGTGAGGTTTTGCCTCCAATTTCTCCCAGAGTTGTACAAATTATTTTTATTGGGGTGTAATTCGGTATTCTGTGCGAACGTGAATCAGGAAGCCCCAGCAAGAAGTTCAACGAGGTCACTGCACGATCAGGAGGAGATCTACGCACGCATGTTTTTCACATAGATTTAGGTGTCTGAAGACATATCTGCAATTTGAAATTAACCGATGGTTGTTGTTCACAAGGGGAGCAACTCAAGGAGCATTGGCGTTGTAGGCTGCCTCGTGGATGGGACCACAGGACCTCCCTCGCGACTGGAAGGTCCCTGGACCCCCTGAGACTCTTCCAAGCTGCCCCCCAACACAGCTCCAAAGCATTTCAGAAGCATATTTGTTACTATACAGACTATTTGTAGTCCACGAAGAGACCCTTGGATTCGGTGCAGAGGTTCAATGCGGGAGTGGGCACAGACTCTCTCTAACAGTCTTGCACCTATTGAACTCCAGCATTTCTAGAGAAGGTGGATGTTTTCTCTTAGGGTTTTTCCGGCCACTACCAGGCTTTTTGCTTTTTCAATAAGGCGCTTCACTTATGAATTCCGCTTTGGCGCATATACTTCAGGCCGTCGGTTGCCCATTGGGCCTGTTTGTTGTCGGCTGCATCACCGTCGGCCGCAAGTTTCTGCGATATCTGCCTCTTTGTGTCTGCGTTCCGCACGCGATTTCAAAGGAACGCAACAGTTTTCAGTAACTGCATCCCGGTGATCGAGGAGTCAATTTGTAAACTGTCAGTTCAGGCAACAGCGGGAGGACACGGATGTTATTCTCGGATTGACTGCACCAGCAAGCTGCGAGCATCCTCCACCAAAGCGTCAACAATGTGGGAATCTGTTGCCAGGCTTCCACATTCACAACAAACAGCTAAGAATGTTCAAGTGGGAGATGTTTGCCACGGAAATCGGCAAATGCCTATCTCGGGACCTAATTCGGAGTGGTGTCTTACAAGACCCTGGGCTAAAGCCCCTTCCTGTAAAATTCGGAATTCGCGGGTTATTTGCAGCAGGGATATGAGTCCAATATGTAGCGAGGCAAGTGACACGGAGCATATAGACCGGAGTTCGTGGGCCTTTCAGCATGGTGGTGTCGTTGTGCCTCCTCCACCACCGCCGCCGCCTCCTGATCAGCCACCACATGCCATTCTTGGGGGGTCGTTGAATTCACAGACAGTACCTTCAATGCGCATATCCTGCCCCCCGCAAATGCCCAAACTGGCAATACCCCTTCCACCCGCTGAGCCTCCCAACAATATTGATATTCCCCAAACTTCGGGAGAGAGCGAAATGCCTCCAACACCTCCTTGGAGAAAAAGCAGATTTTCTTCCAGTCATAGTCCTTGCAGATGGGAAGGTCTTCCAAGCACAACTCATGGTTTCCCGTGGGGGCGGAAGCAACAACAATCGGGCAACTCACATCCCCATCCTAGCGTGAGTTTTGCCAAGCCTCTAGAAGACCCATATGCCTCGTCAGGTACTACAGACCCCTATACGCATCCCAGTAGCTGCAACAGCAACAACCTCTGCTCAACAGTTAATTCACCGAGGGCAGTAATTATGCAGCAACTGGAGCCAGTGGCACAGCTAACGGCAAGCGCACCTCTTCCTGCTTCTTCTGACGGCTGCGTTGGAATGTCTAACAACGTACCCTTGCTTCTGCCTCCTCCTTTACCTCATAAAGTGATGGCCCATGCCCACGCCTCACCAGGACGGCCAAGCTGCTCCAGTTACGCTTACCATCCGGTATCAGCAACAGCACCGACAAGAGAACGCGAACATTGGATGCCTACTGAGGCCCATCGGATGCGCCACCGGCTGCGAGCCCGGCAACGGCCAGAAGGAATAGTATCTCACGGCGGCCCTGGGGGTCCACCGCCTTTTCCTTTTTCTCCTCACTGCTACTATCCACCCCAGCAGCACCACCAGCAGCAACCGCAACATGATAAGGCATTACTAGCTCTTAGGCGCACTTGCTACCGATGTAGGAAAAGAGGCCATGAAGCTAGCGAATGCCCTAATGGGCAGGGATTGCGCCAGATGCGCTTGGACGTTTGATTTTCTGGAGCTAGATATGTGGGAGACTTAATCCTGGAGGGCACAGTGGCGTTCATGGCCCACCAACCCATTTTGCGTCGCCTCCGTTTGCTTCATCCTTCAAAGCAGGCCCTTAATTAGAGTTCGTCAGATGGAAGCGTGTTGGTCTATGATGCTATACATCATGTCTGGTGCATTATTCTCTTCTCCAATTCATCGGGCATGTATCGCCAGTGAAGCAATTACCCAGCATTTTCGTTTGCAGGCCAGCGCTCATTACAACCTGGATATCTTTAACGTACTTTTTACACGTTATACAGTAAAGGAAGTTCACGGCAGTTTATGGGAGGCGTTTCCGGCGAGTAACGCACTTCTGTGAAGCCTTGTATTGCTACATTTCACGTTGAAACAAAGCCATTTCACTTCCAATTGGCCTATCATTATAGTTGCGCAATTTTGCTCGAGGTAGACGTGCAGCGCCACGTAATCGCGTGGAAGAAAGAAGTCTTCTCTTAGGGCAGTTGGTCCATCATTGCCTCGCCATGTGTACTTGTTGCCCCGATAACTGCTCAAGTGGGTGCTTCGTCTCTATAAGTTCTCATCGGATAGAGAGCCTACCAGGTCACAGAAGGGGCAACAAATGCTGGAAACGAGGACTGGCAAGGGAGCAACCCACGGCTTCGTGCTCCGTATGCCCCCTCTAAACGTACTTTGCGCGGCCACAAAGAGCTCAGGGACTCCCATTGCTCTGTGGCATAACGATCAGCTACATAGCCGAATCTTGAACAGCTGCTACAGCGTTGATACGCTGTGCCTATTCTTAAGCAACCGGCAGTATACGTATGCAAATCGGCAGTGCCAGGAATCCAGCAGTAAGAATGGAAGACTGTTACTACTTCCTTGCCTGCGATTCAGGCGCATCAGAGTTTCAAGTATTACCTCTACACGTTTCAGTTCACAATTCTAGCCAAGTGGTCATAGCAAACGACTCTTCCTGTCGTTGCGGTCCCCCTGCATGCGAAGACTGCTTCCAAGTGGCCCCTCCTTTCAACCGCCATTGCTCGTTTCTAAGGGCCTGCAGCTTTATGCTGTTGGTGGCGTGTAAGCTTCAGGGAGACGCGTAAATAATGCTGTCAGTAATCTAGTCATATAAGATTTGCTGGGCTTCCTACAGTGGCTTGTGCAGCAAGGCACTACTGGCCAAACCGCAGCTGTGCGCAACATCGAGCGAGTAAGTCGTGGCTACTTCTTGTGACCCACGAACCCATTTTCCTAGCTTTTCCAAAGCACGTGGGATGAATAAAATCAGAGAACCGTACATCTGAAAATATGCGCTCATTTGAGCCAGCATGTTACAGGTGTGTAGTATATTTACAGTTGTTCTGCATATTGCTTGTGTTGTCCAATTGTGGAGGTGTTGATTTAAGCTGACTTCCGCTGGCATCGGTCTTGCTTGTACAGGAGAGTTAAGAGACGCCAGCAAGCTAACCGATATATGGATATACGACGGGACTTCCCACAGTGGAGCCGCAGCTGCCATTATGGCAGGTGTAAGCGCTATTGCGTGTATATCAATGCACTGGGGTATGCAGTGCAAGTTTGCTAGGGCATACATCATCCAACCGCTGGCTTCATCCTCAAGCACCAACATTCAGCAGCTTGTTTGCGATGCCTGTACAAATTTGCCTATTCTCGGGTAGCAACGCTGCAGATGCATCGCATGTGCACTTGCTCTATTTCGTATTTCCCACTCCCTTCGTCGTCTGCCGTGACTTCTTCACTCCCTCCTTGTGTAGACGTTTCCCTTCTCTAAACAACAACAATTGAAAGCAGACGGGAGCAAGTGTATGAGAAAAGCATCGTAATTTCAGAAAATCAAGCTGTTCCACCAGGTGATAGCAGAGCTGCCCACTGGATAAGATGCGTTGAGTGCTGCAGGCACTAACAGAAGTGTCAAGAACAATGCTAAGAATACAATCGTTCACCGACCTGTTGAGTGTATTCGACAAGCAATTGATTGCCATCAGGAAGAATCCATGCCCCCTTTCCAGTTGGCTTATTTAATTCAAACTCCCCGACATATACCGCACCGGTAGGAAGGAGCCAACGGCCCCTCTTCAAGGACCCTGCCGCCCACTGCCCAGAAAGAACAGAACCATCAGCGCTGAAACGATAAGAGCCCTCTCCGTGCTTCTGGCCAGCATACCACTCCCCTGCAAAAAAAAAAATTAGGATGTTCATATAGCGTGGGACATTTGAAACAGGAATGGAGGATGCCAGGAATGCTGTTTCCTGTCTTGATACGCATACTGTACCCTTGCGGCCCTCCACGTGTCCGTTTAACTAGTACCTTGGTACACATCTCCATTGTGATACACCATACATCCATGTGCTTGCCGCTGTCCTTCAACAAAGTGACCGAGATATCTTGCTTCACCGGTGACGCGGGGTTCTCCTAGAAGAATCGCAGGTAAGACACCAGCCCTACAGTCCCGCAAGACCCACTAGTGAAAACAAAAACCCTTCTGCACGCCTCACCTATTGTGATGACCTTCCCCCACAAGGAAACGACATCAGCGCATTATACTAAGAAATACTAAGGTCGTAAGCTGGCATAGCATGCGTCTTGTTGCAGCACTAACTTAATCTGAAAAAGTGTTTGCGTTACCGTCCTCTTCGTTGATTTCTCTTTTCTTGTATGTCGCATCTCCTAATCCGCTCTTTTTGTTGTTTTCATAACTACCCTTGAAGTGGGAGCCGTCCGAAAACTGATATTCTCCTAAGGACGCAAACGGTGCGACACTGCACTCGTCAGTGTTGCATGCCTTAAGGCCAGCACTTGGACGGTTTCATGCTGAGGCTTTTTTACCGTCGAGAAGCTGCTCCATGACTTGACCAAAGGAACTGCTCGCCTACGGATGCAAGTTTCACGCTTGGCGCTAGCTAGCAAAACCCATTAACCCTCAGCAGCGAGCCTGCTGTCCGACTCAGCCTTGCAACCTGTCACTCTCCATAGGTGTAGTTAGCAACCTACCTGGACCGTGCCTAATGCCCCCAACGTATTCGCCTGCAAAGCTTTCTTTATTTCCTTCTTCGTCGACGACATAAGTTGCGATGCCAGGGCCTGAGTATCCCCTGCTGCTGCGGCTCCTCCCTTGGGGGGTGATAATTTCAAACTTTGGACTTCCTGGTTCGTCGCCTTCTCCTTCCATTATGACTTCCCCCTGAGATATTTGTCTCTAAGTATGGGAAGATGGAGAGTTGCTACTTATTTCCTTGCTCTACTGCGCGCGAAGGGGTCCAGCCATGTGTCTATTGAGCGATGTTCTGGCTCTAAACAAACCTGCTGAGCATGGGACTAGTGGAAACAAAGTACAATCATAGCACCTGGGGCTATTCAGGATACCGGACGGGCCAGCAGTAGGAACGATGGAGCCGACAAGAGGTCAGGAAATGCAAGCTCTGCACAGCAGAGTGGGACCTGTGTTTGCCCTAAAAATCTGCAATACAGTCAAAACCAAGAAAGATTTGAAATTTAGTGGAGTTCTACAACCCTTTACAGGTGGCTCACACAGCCACACGAGGTCACTCAGCCGAGTGGCGCCGAAAGAGTGACTCCCAAATTCCACCGGAGCGGGATTCAATTGTTGCTATTGTAGTTTCAATCCTATATTACCATCACTTACAGTATGTCTTAGTCGGCTTTTTTTGAAGCAGAGTAAGTGGGGATGCTTTTCCATTTGTGGTCCGCGGGGATGTCATGTTCCCGTATTCAATGCGTGCCGTTGCTAAACACTGCAGTGCCACTGAGCTCCGTTGTTGCTCGACAAATCTGACCTCCGGTGTATTTGAGAAGCTTCCTGCTTGCCAGGTACTAGTCATTCAAATAAGACTACAAAAATTTAGTGCCCTATTCTCGGAGTGTCCATTTGTAGCGAACGCCTTCATTATCAAGCCGCTCAATTGTTCGTTTTTTTGCAAGCAGTCTGTTTCTTAGAGTTACTTGTCTCCGCAGCGGCAGTCAACCGCCAGCGGAGGCAGAGCAGCAGCACCATCGCTGCACGTTGGCACTTAGACTCCTAAGTTGACGTGGTGAAGATTCTGTAGGTTAACCCAATGGCCAGCGTCCAGTGCACAGCCACCTTGCTGCTTATTCTGCAGCCCCGTCCAAAACTTGTATTATTTCGCAGCCCCATGATTAAAAATGCCGCCGCAGTGTCAGGGGTGTCTGAATGGCTATAGCTGCTGGGTTGAGATGGAACCTCGATAAAATAGGGCGTGCAGAATAGTGGTTGAGAGATGTATAGAAACGAGTTGTGAACACAGTTAACACCAGCACAGCTACAAGTAAAACTTATTACTGTTCGAGTCGAGAAAACAAGTAAGCCGTTAGGTGGCGCGGATGGCATCACCCAACATTCTGGGAGAGCCATTGTGCTTGTTATAACTCAGTATAGGGGCTGCACCAACACGTATGCATAGCTGATACCTAGTTAGTCGCTTTTTCATGAAATTGATCACCTTCGCTTTTGCAAAAAGCGCACTAAGTTAGCCCAGCAAATTGCCAAGGACCAAGGTCATTCTGGGTATGATAGGGTGTTGCGGTCCACCCGGCATATTCAGGAAGGGTTCTGCTCCCCCTTGCCGACGGTAGATACTCTGCATTTCCTGGGGGACGTCCTTGACTCTGGGCTGCAGCGTTGCTTGACGATCCTCCAAAAACTCCAAAAGGATTTTCAGGTGCCCTAAGCTGCACTCCACTTAACTCTTCATTTGTAGATGCAGCTTGCAAACGGGTTCCGCCGAAGTCCAATCCAAACGAGTGCGACCCTATGTGGTCATTCAACGCTGGCTGCTGGAGCTGAGGCTTCTCCGGAGGCCGAGGGTTGTTTGGTTGCTGCTGGGAAACATGTGAGACTGTTTGCCTTCCTAAAGGTTGCACAGGCGCGCCTGCATGCTGTGGAAGTGCCATCCCGTTAGCTGCTAATGCTGCATGTAAGACCGAAAGCGGGACAGACGTCGCTGTCGGTGGGGGCTCTATGGGAGTCCAGCTGCTGCATGGAGGGAAGATTGGGGCCACTTTGTTCCCTTCAGCTGGGCTCCTTGCTGGGTAGAAGGGAGACTTGGGCTCAGGTAACGCTAGGTCCTCTTCTGAAGGGATTGCCTCCTCACCACCCCAAGCAAGTGCAGGTAAGACAGTTCCTACCTCTCGCTCTGTGATGGACTTTGACTTCTCACGACTTCCTACATTTTGCTCTGGGGACTGTTGGCGCTCTATAGAATTTTTTGTGTCAAATTGAGTTATTCCCAGAGCTTCGCTACGCGGTGCGGGCCCCGGAGGAGCCCCAGTGGGTGCACCGACCCTCGGCGTATTCATCACTAGGGGACGCGCTCCTAAGGGGGACTGAGCTGCTCCTCCATCAATAGTGTACGGCAATATCTGTTGAGGTTGCTTCTGTGCCGCTAGCGGCGGCACGGCAACGCTACCCGCTTGACCTCCATGCTGCATTACCAGCTGGGCCCCATTAAGGCGCACTGGTGGATTGTTTCCCATATTCCGCGCAGCCATCTTCGGCGGGGCTACGGCGGAAGGAGGAACCCATCGTTGACGCGGACTTTGTAGAGGGCCACTGCCTACTGCGTTTTGTTGTTGAGCTTCAGGGCAGCCCATAGGAGAAGTAGTTGGTTTGCCGGCCAGGCGCTGCATGAACTGCTGCAATTTTGCCCTAACGGAGAATTGTCTTGGCGGAGGGGGTGGCTTATGTAGATGATAGCAACACCCTCCCACCCCGTGCGGAGCAGGCCAGGGCAGATTGAGACTGTCAGAGTTTTGCGGTGCGTTGGAAGTTGTGACCCCAGATCGCTGCCCTGTGACGGCTGGATGGAGTAAGTAGTTTGCTAGCTGACAGGATAGTGTTCCTGGAGGTAGCTCAAGCTGCTTCTCCACCTCGTCTGGTGGGGGCTTGTTATTATGCCGCAGCACGTCTGGAAGCTGACTTCTAGCCATGAACTCTCTGCACAGACAACGGCGACGGAACATTCCCAAACCGCTACTGAAGTAATACTAAATATATACACCATTTCGCATTGTTTTGCTAAGTCGTTACACATGACTGCGAGCCTACCCTAAAGACTCCCGCTGTTCTTTACCCTCAGTTTATTCGCTTGTGCTCATATTTGTTAGCTTGCCTGTGCGAGTACATTAACAGGCAGAGAATGGCTCGTCGCATTTCCTTTGCTGCTTCAGGACCGGTTGCGGCAGCCGACTGAGGCATTCCCTTAGTTTGAATATCAGCTCTGCTTCGATAATCTTTGGATATAAATGTGCTCTCATCGTCGTTGCAGAGCATGCATGGCTCTCGTGAAACATTTTTCCCTGGATCATGCGGGCCAAGAGCCTTTGTTGGCTTGCGTTTAGTACCCCTTGTGGCTGTTGGCAATCCACCGCGACCGCCGTCAACTTCCCCCCGTCCACGGTTGCTCGGGAAGCCTTCACTGCTCCTCTGGAGAAGGCAGCTGTCTCCTCCGCGCCGCGCGCCATGCTTGCTTATTTCAGAGTTGCCATCCTTCGCGCTACAACGCTCAGTTGAGGTTGAGGAGGTACTCCTGCAGGTTCCCCTGCTTCCGCTGCTGTCTGCATGCAATTGGGAATAATCTTCAGAGCCGCAACTTTATGGCATGCTGTCACTCACAGTGTCATGGCATTTCCTCCTTTCCGGAGTACGTGCACTTCTAATTATTCGTCATACACCCGAAGGCATGAAAGTGATTTGGGATGTACAAAATATAATGGCTTTGTGCTTAGTCTGTGGAGCGTTTTGGTAACCTGCACTCTATGGAATTGTTATGGACCATTAGTTCTGAATGAAACACTAAATCCAGCGGAACAACATCTGGAGAACGGTGGTGGGGTAGTGACAGAGCTTTTGAGAGCCAGATGTATTATGGTATATATCCGGTGTTTGAGGCATTGTGCGTGCTGTTTCTGTCTCGCAGTGTATGCCTAATGTTGGGCGCGTGGGGGCGGCGGGGGAGGGTCGAATGAAGTGTCAGTAGGATTAGGCACAGGAATTTCAGTGAAGAAAGACTAGCCAGAGCGGGTGATGGAAAGCGGAGAAGGCGTATAGCATTGTCGCGTTGATCTTGGGTGCTGCAGAAACAAGCCGCATTCACGAGCATCTAGGCTACTATGGACGTTGGCGCTCACGGTGACTTGCCTGGATCCAAGACGCGCACTGCGTTCTTTTATTGGTTTCTCTGCGCACCTTTTGCTCTGTCGTGTGTGAAGAAGAAGCGTTTGGTGGTCTCCTGACACGACTTTTCTGCACAGGAGTAGAGAGTATGCATACTGAAAAACCTTTACGGAAGGAGGATGTGTATTGCTTTCTACTAGCATATGCGGAACTCTGCTGGGTCAACGTAGCGTCACTGCATGTTTTCAGCACAACTATATCTAAAACACTCATGACGGCACCGCCAGAAGAAGACAAACCCTGGTTTCTTTTGATGATGCATCTCTCAGTTCGTCAAGCAGCACGACGGCAGTATCACGATGTTGTTGTGGCTGAGTTCGCATTCAAATACAGCTGCGCTACACCGTAAGAAAATTCACCCTGCATGTCCCATTCGCTGAAGGTGTATAGAGGCTTTGTATATTGGTATAGATGTGGGCCGCAAGGAACGCAAATTTTATTGGGTTTTTGCATCAGCGTCTTGCCTCAATGTTGTTAAGCTGCTGCTGCAGCTCGAAGAGTTCGTCCTTAAGTGTATCTCTGAGCGTCTGTAAAGAGGCACAGCGTTCGCTCACCGAACTCTGATGACCTAGCCTAACTCTCTTGAGCAAACGTTTCAACGGTCGATTTACGGCAACAGACACTTAATTTACCTTGACTGCTTTCTGGATTTCTCTTTGGACGTCGTTTTTCACGTCAACCATTGTGCTTTCCCTATTGTCTTGGGCGGGCAATGTAGAGTTGTTCCTGCCTGAGGCGGAACCAAAGGTACCCGTTGCCTCTTCAGGACGCACCCCTCCTACAGAAACGGCCACTGGCGCAGGCTGAGAGAAACCACTCGCCGTTTTTGGAGCATCAGAGACCCTTAATGCTGCGGCGCTAAGAAGACTGAGTTGTTGCTGCAAGAGGTGTTGCTGCTGCTGCAGAGTCTGCTGCTGCTGCAGTAGTTGCTGCTGTTGGGTAATCTGTTGTTGCTGCTGCTTCTCAAGCATTGTCAAAGGTGCTGAGATGGCGGATCTGACCGAATCAAAAGCCTGGTGAAAGGCGTTGGTGCCAAGTGTTGAAACATGTGGGCTTTCGAGCCGAGCCACACTTGACTGGCGAAGATCGCCCCTGTGTCGTTTGTTAATGTGCTTGTCTAAATAGTAGGAGTTGATAAATTTTTTCCCACACTCGCCACACTGAACGAGCATACCAACAACTATTGCCCCATTTTCTGTAGAGCTGCGAAGACCGCCTTCCGATCCAACTTCGACGGGCAGCTTGGCTGTTGATGGCAAGGTAGGCAGCCTCTTTTGGTCCTGTGTTCCTTCCTGAACTGTCTGATATTGCTGTAGCTGTTGTATGGGGGAGCGTGATGATGCTGGGAAAACTGCATTGGCACCTGGCTGTAGAGCTTCAAAAATGGGTGTACCATCCCCACTAGTTGCCAATGTCTTGGCCATTTTTTGTCGAAACTCCCAGCGTAATTTAAGCTGTATTGCTGAAATGTGGGTCAGATACCGGCTACCAGGAAACAGCACTGGGTTGACAACCTACACGCTGCACCTTACTACAAGCAATGGTGGTGCAAAACACCAAGAATCGACAGAAAAAACGGATAAATCTTCATTAATTCCCGGGAAGGAGACGGAAACACTGAGACAATTGCCGAACGTATCTTTCTACTGTTCTGTTTCCTAAGGTCACTGGTCAGAGCGGCGCCACATCACATCGACGAAGCTTCAAGCGTCCTCATAGGCGCTTTCTGGAATATAAAGGTTCCCATTTGAGCCAAAGCTGACTGAAAGGCATGTGAGTAGAAGGAGGAGACTATTGATTGTTCGAAGAACTCGAACATGAGGGGACTCTGAGGGGATCACCAGCACTCCGCGAAGCAGTGCAGCTGATCAGCCTTCCCCTTCTACAAAAAGGAAATAGAGTGTTACCGAAATTTTTTAAAGACAGAACAGCCGGGGCAGAGATGAAGAGGAAAGAAGCCTCGACGGTCAGATTTGGTATCGTCACGGAAGCCGGCGTGCGCCCGCATCTGTGCACATTCAACGCATAAGAATCAAGCAGGAAAACGCCGGAAGGCGAAAAGCTTGCAGTCATTCTTATAATATGAAACTTTCCCTCGTATGGGTGACTTTCCAAGAATGCATTTCATAGAGATTGTCTCGGAAGGCCCTAAAAAGGCTTTTTCACACAGCAGCAAGGAGGGCCCCTAATCTGTTGGACATCTGTTGGGCTACTTCTAGCAACAGCAAGCAAACTACCAGGTTTACACACCTCTACTATTATTAGACGATAATTTAAGGACTCAAGAACTGTTGGGATTTGCGCTAGGACCCCAATGAAGCATTGATTACAATTAACGTTGTTCACGAGAATTCTGGGCCAGGGTTGCTCAAGGTGAAGATGATACTACCTCGGTTAAGCTCCGCTCTTTCCAACCACTGGATCAATGAGTTGTCTTTAAATTACACTTGTATCAATCTGTCTGATCCATCTACGTCCTAGGGATGACTACCCTACGAAGGGAAAATCTTTTTTGAGGGAACTGCGTGGAGTACATACAATCGGCATATACTGATGTGGACACATCCACCCAATTGATTGGCTTCGAGAACAGACTGGCCTGCCACTACCATCTTTGTATTCAGCATTCGTAGGCTTTGGAGTCTTCTTTTCAATCGTATAGTAGGTTCTTTTCATTCAACTTCAAGAATGGACTGCGTTTTACTATAACCTCCAGGGCAAATTACCGTTTTGTGTGAATCGGATATTCCCCTAATACGATTCGCTTTCATTCCCCTGTGCGAAAACGGTCTTTCATTCTCCCACTGGGGTCCGCTGCTTTCTTTGGACAGTTTCGTCTCATCAGCCTTAGAAACAGTGGTTCACTCATTTTAGGGTTTGGAAACCGATGTGTCCACCACAACCTGCCAAACCAAGCTGCTTTCCAGTTAGTTTTGTTCTTGCTTGATCGCCGTGGCAAGCTGCCAGCATTGTTTCTTTCACTACGTTGGGAGGCCGTGGGATGGCGTGCGCAGGGGGATTTGTCGGAAGCAAGCCCTGGACGAGCAATCAGAGTATGCACCAGTTTTAAGCTGTCGCAATGCAAGAGTTCGGTAAGACGACGAGGTGTAAAGGCTTATTGTGTGTAGGGCCACTCATGTTTATAGACAAGTGGGCTTCCACAGATTCCAGTTGCAGCAGCGTCTCTCACACAATAGCGTAAACAGTAATTGCACTACATGGGATGTGCATGCAATTTATAAAAAAATCCAGCGGCACGGTAGCCCAAGGTGGCACAGTAGATAGGTGAAATACATGAGATGGCTGTCCCAAAACTGCAAAACCGACGAACTAAGGTATACTCTTCCTTCAGGATATACCTTAATTGCAGGAAGGAAAAGAGGCTGTGGCGTTGTCCAAGCCTCAGGCAGCATTGGGCAACACCCTTATCACCCCCTATCAACACCAGAGCGCAGCTTCCAGACTATGAACACCTTCCCCTCCGAAGTATTATCAGCTTACGGAAATCAAAAGGGAACAAATCACCTTTCCGGTCATTTGCCGAACATCGCACTTCAAAGCATTCATTCAAACAGCAAGGAACAACTACCCAAGAGTGAAGCTGCTGTCCATCAGGCTTGCTGTGGGCTATGCTTTGCCACTGCTCTTACTTCTAGCGGGAATCGATGTACCCTAAGAGACTTGAGGAAATCACTCAGAAAAATTAGCGCTAAAACCATGTTTCGTGTGCGCCCATTTCAGAAATGAGATTTTGTTCGGACCATGCGACCTAAGGTTGTAGGCGAACTGCTTAACCAACTAAACAGCGTGCTGGAACCGTTTAGCACCATAACACAGCAGGGAAACCTGAGGTTCCTCCACCCAGGTATCCCAGGTTCCTGGTTGCTGGGAATCTACCACGATATCCTTAAGATTATGAACGCCACACCCCCGGAGTTTAAAGAATTGCAAGAAGTGCGCTCAATTTAATCGATTTACACTGACACTGCTCCTGGATACTGCCCCAATAGATGCTGCTAGGGCGGAAGAGAGAACATTAAACATTAAACAGTACACGAACAAATATCCGGCTTGGGAACGCAGGCCATTCCAGTTAGAAATTACGATAGAGAGCATGAGAACGATTCGCTTGCGACACCGTTCGCGGCGCAGCCGTAACCCTAACCCAGCAAATGACAACGGCTAGTCACAGGAAACAAATCGGTGAAGCATGTCAACGCGGTTATGACAGACGTAAGGTCTAAAGGACTTAAATACCCTCTGAAGGAAACAAATACGTCTCACCTTTAGACTTATCGTCGTCCACAGCATATACCAAAGTGCTCAATATGCTGTACACAAGAGGCGAGCTCGAAAACAAAGGTGACAGGATGGTTTTGATGTGTATTGCATTAGAGCTACAACTATTGAGTAACGCAGTGGATTCGGCCCCTCTGGAAAAAATCCACCGTATGGTGATGTTCTAATACTTTGTTGTTGCCCCGACAACAGCTACTGAGTAAGGTAGCGAATGGGGCGCCTTTAGTAAGGAATTATGTAACATCTACATTATGGTAATGTGGTAGGCGCAAAATATGAACGGGTGTTTCCAATAAGCCATAGAGTTTCCTAAGTAGTCCTGCTCCTAGCGAACTGACACAGCAGACAAACGCCCAGTATCGGCATTGGGGTTTAGGTATTGAGGCGAAAGGAAGAGTGGGAACATACCCATACGAACACTAGTCGTTGTCTAAGGCTGCTGTCTTGTAGTGGAACAGACTGAAGTCAGGAATTTGAGTTCTACCCAACATATTTGTTGTCCTACAGTGAAACCCACGGAAGTGGGGTACTTGAGATGCACCCAACATTGCTGTTGTTATTTGAATGAAGCTAATCCCGCGGGATTGGTGGCAGTTTGGTGGAGCCTTATTCGTCAACGCCTGTTACGCTTCCTGCATATCGTAAACTATTCTCTGCATGCGTTAACTTCGGAGTTCTTAAACCGACCTTCCCTCCTGCATTCCGCACTGGACTCTCTGGCGGCTATGCTTAACCATTCTGCTCCGCAAGCATCGCGTCCCGTGGGAATGTAACTGGCAGGCAGACACGAGGCCCTGGCACGCGCCCGAATCAACCCATCCGGCCAGCACAGTCACTGATGGTACTGCATCTATATTATCTCTGGTGATTTTGCGTGTATTCACGCTGTCGTTGTGCTAATGAGTTCATACAAACCCTAAAACCTAGATTTTGCTTGATTTTGCGTGTATTCACGCTGTCGTTGTGCTAATGAGTTCATACAAACCCTAAAACCTAAACCCTACAGCCCATTTGCAGAGTCCTGCCTAACACCAATATTTGCTGTCTCTTGCAGAATCCATGTTTGTTTTCCGGCTAGCTATGGAGTAATCATACTATCCTCATCATTCAGATTGTGAGGAATGCCAGTCAGTGTCACTACAGCAATGCAATTCAGTGACCTTCCCTGTGTCCGGGAATTATGCTTCGAGCAGGAGCCGACATTTACCGCGTCGTGCCCTCCTGCCAGCCGCATAACGGGCACACTGAGGGGGCAGCCATGTGTGCACTGAAATGAATGCTTCCAAGGTTTTGACCAACAGCGCCTCCCGCAGGCATCATTACAGTGGGGTCAGGGGCGCATGTTAGGTGGAGACGTTGTCGGTGATCTTCTTTATGTCTTCAATCTATACGCGAATGCATAGTGGAAAACACTAGCATGCCACCTTGCACGTGCTCTACCGTTTTACTCAAACTAGGAAAGTTTTCACACTTCTGCATACTTTAGTTTTCACCCATGTGTTTAACCTTCGTAACTGGCAGTTCTTCGTCAGCGTGCTGGAAAGCGAAAGAGTTTTGCGGCTGTCTTGCAGCTTGTTGAATGCCGGCTAATGCACCGGGGAAAGAATCGTGTCGCAACTGAAACAGACACATCAACACTATTCGAAACGGAGCCCTCACGTCTGTGCATGAACCTTCCAATTGGAACAGGAGGTTGCTGCAGCAGACAATTGCCCTGCGTCGTTCTTCAGGATTTAATTGACAAAAGCCCCATCTACACATAGCAAAGCCGCCTGAAGCTTACTTATATGTTTGCGAAATGAATTACGATGTATTTGGAAATCATTGTAGTCCCGCTTACGCCAGGTTTTACAGCATTAATTCAGTCATAATCACTTTGAGGGTTTGAATATCATTGCAATCCCATACATTCGTAGAATCGGACTACTAACAAGGCGGAGGAAAGACACACACCATACGCAGTCTACACTCAATTTTTCCCCAGACCCATCGGCTCAAACCCTAAAGCCTCAACACCGAACACTAAAACCTAGACCCTAGAACAAGGCACCGGCGACAGTAGAATGACTGTTAGTTTTAAAACAACTCATCGTTGCCTAACGGTTTGTTGCTTAAGGATATAGAG